CGGTGGACGATGCAGCTGGAATGGACATGGTCAGGTCCGGTGGTTCTGTCTGTCCTTCAGCTCTGAACTGAACTGAACTGACTCGAGGGCGTATCAAATTGTCACATGCAAATCGCCACTGATCATCTCAGCACCGATGAACTGCAGAATGGAGAAAAAGCAAATATCACACATACAGCAGATACAACCCTCGGAAGACGAGAGAGAGAATCTTACCTGCGTTCGCGGAGGGCGGCCCCCAAACGTCATCATTGGCCTTGACTTGAAGGATGGCGGACACCCACACGGTGTACTGACTACTACTTAGTATGAATGGCAGGTTCGGTTTTACGTTTGTTTTTGTTTTTCAATTCCGTTCCGAATTTCGGTTTCCTATCTATCTCCAAGTTCCAAACCTCAAAAGACTGGTACGCTTTTTAAGCCGCCCAACTAGTTCAAATGATAACGCGCTTTTTTCCCACTGCAGATGTCGAAAAATCAGATCTTTTGACTCGGACCAGAAGCGGCATAGTGCGATCCAAGAGCCAGTACTCGCTAGGGTTGAACTCTATCTGGATAAATTATCGTTGGTCCAACTCCACACAAACCGCCTTTGCATGGCCAGCGGTACCTACAGTACTCAAGAACAGAACCAGAACCGGCCCCAATGGGTATTGCAGATTTCTAGCAGCCGTCTCACGGTGAGACCAGCATCTGCAAGGTCTGCTCCAATCGGCGCGGCGCATGTTCGTGGGTCCGTCTAATGTGACAATATGCAGTCTGCATGAAGTTGGAGTCCCATGGGTATTTGAACCGGGAGCACCATTGAAGGATCTTATCCTGTTGGTTTAACCTAACTAATCAATCGCTGGGCTTGTAAGCCTGTAATACAGCGTATGATCGACGCCGGGCCCATGCCCGGGGATGGGCGCTTGCACAAAAGTTGGGGCTGGGGCTGCATTTTCGCATTTCGCACGACGCACCGTGCAGAGCGGTGTGTGGATTCTTGGATTTACGGGAAACTGGGACATCACGAAAATGATGTGAGCCGTACCGGGTCGAGTGGAGGACGAGCAGACACTGGGACGGCAGAAGATAAGATGCCCGCCCAGCTTCCACACACAACGGAACAAGAAACCGGGTCGATGACGAGGATCTTGATGGTCTGATTCCTTCAATTCTTTGGGTCCGGGTGGAATGTGGAATTCTTTCTACCCGCCTGAGACAATCTGAGGCACTTGCCAAGATTCGACCAGAGGGATATTCTTCCGAGCGCTGTGAACACCCGATGGTCCATGACTCTTCCGTCCAGCTTTCATGTCACTTTTCTTTTTTTTTCTTGGTTTTTAGCGAGTGCGGCGGAGCCCGTACCGGAGGACCTGTGCAGCGTTCGGCCCCAGTGTTGACGTTACCCTCCGTCGACCGGCTCAGCCGAGCGTGAGCCTCAGCCTGTGTCCTCGCCTCGAGATAAGCCAGCAGGATTTGCAGGCACGAACTGGAGGAACCATGGATCGGATGAGCCGTAATTCGGCCAACGCGCATCGCATGAGGTCACATTGGCAGTTGATACCTTGCGTATCTGCAAGCGAATCCGAGCCAAAGGACCTCGGGTGTGCTGGCATTCCTTAAAATGAGCAGCACAACATGACATACACGGGCGAGTACGGACGAGTACGGACGAGTACTGAAGAATGAACATAGACCACTACAGCACTCTGTACGACGACTGATAGTCGCGTAACTTCAACACGCAGTGCAGTGCACCCAAGCCAGACAAATCTATCTATCTGAGTTAAGGTATGAAATCTGTCATCGCGTCTGACAGGAAGTCTAATCATGCAGAAACGGATCTAAGAAAATTCAAACCGCCCCCATTCCGATCATCCTGAAGAGTGCTAATCGGGGAGGCTGGCCGTAAGGCTCAACTGCAACTCTGCAAGCATGACTCGGCGAGGCCGGGGAGACACTAGACAGCCAGTCCAGCACACAGAAACCCCCAAAAATCAGAACCGTCAGCCACCCAAAATAGAAAGAACGGATAAGAGAAAATAAAAGAAAAGAAAGGCCTCAGTGGATGGTAAGTGAGATCACGTATCCCATTGGGAAATCAGTCTCTTCCTATCATATGTATAAACATCCAAATAACTCATCATAAGCCTATGAAGAAAAGAAAAAAGGAAAAGAGAAAAGAGAGAGAAAGAAAAAGAGAGAAAAGACGGATCCCCACCAACCAGCTGACATAATCCACTCCTCAACCAATCACACCGTCTAAAATCCCAGACTACTCTACCCGAGCCCGGAACAACGGAACAACCCTTCCCCGGAGGTCTTCCCGCACACATAAATAGCCTCCTTCTCAGCCACCATTTTAGAATTTTTTTTCTTTCCTTTCTTCGTGCGGCGACGCAACTATTATTTACCCGTGTTGCCTGGACATCTACTTCTCCTGTGATGTTCACCAGGTGTCAGTTGCGTCACAGACGAACGAAATTGCACGCCGGTTCTTACTTTATTGGTCTTTCTGTGTATTGCTTCTACTGGGATTAGACCATTTGGTTTGGGATCGGACATACCTTTTTTCTTTCCTATATCTTTATTTAAGATATAGGGATTTGCGATGCTTATGCATCTTCCTTATGCGGATTGGTGCATTGGCTTGGCTTGCTTTATTAGTTTAGACAGTAGTTGGTATATATGGTTGATTTGAATATGATATCGCGTTTCGACTTGACGTTATCATGTTGCTGCTTTATGTTTGTATTGTTTGTGTAGTTATGGTTTCATGTTCCGTAGCTGGATGCTTTGTCTCTCATTACAAGGATTCCTGTCTGGGCTCGTTTGAAAGACATCCTATCATGGATATCTCCTACCTACCCTCCTTAACTACCCTCCGTCCTACAGTCTATCATAAACATTCAATCAATCGGACCCCTCTACTCGCCCGGCTCATCGCCAATCTTCTCCAACTTGCCCATCTCTCGCTTCTCGCCCGCCTCTCCGAAGATACGCACGCGATCCACCCGCAACTTCTCGCTCTCCCCATCGCCATCCACAAAGAACAGCACCAGTGACGTGACGCTCTGGAACTTGACGAACCGCAGGTCCACCTTGGCCGTACCCGTCTGCGCATCGTAGTCACCCGGCTGGATCGTCACCGTCTGCACGGCGGGGATATCCTCCGCCTCGTCGAAGCCGAGCACATGCGACCGGTTCGTATACAGCTGCAGCGTCTTCGGGCGCATGGGACGCTCATCCTCGTCGCGCTCCTCATCCTCGCCCTCGGCCGGCAGCAACGACGTGATCTGCAGCGAGTGCACCTTCACCGTCGACTGGAACGGCACGTACAGCATCAGTTGCTCGTCCGTGTCACTTTCCACCCAATCCGGCGTCGAGGAGGCCTTTCCTTTACCGCCACTGAGCGCCGACGGCTTCGACGCATCGAACAGTGTCCGCGCCACCCCGAACTCGCTGTCCCGGTTCAACAGCTCCAGGCCCTTGGGGTCGTACTGGTCCGAGATGTCGCCATAGCCTTTAGGCACTGAGGCCCCCACCCAGCCAACGCTAGAGGTCGTGTCGCCGGACGAGGTGTCCGCGGACGTCTCGTCGCTTTTGGTGGCTTCGGAGGCGAGTTTCTGCACGGCTTGGGAGAGTTTCTGGGGGTCGGCGCCGCGGACGGTGTTGACTGGGCGGCCGCGTTGGAAGACGATGAAGGTGGGCATTCTATGTTTCCCCCCCTTTGTTAGTTGATTTGATTTGGTTGCTTTCAGGCTTTGGGGGTGGAAGGGTGGTCCGTAGAGGGTCTCCATCTTTCTTCCTCTTTCGTAGAGGGGATGCTGGGGAGAGGGGAGGGACGTACGCTGTAATGCCATACGCCTTGGCAATATCTTGCTGGTGGTCAACGTTGATCTTGGTGAATGTGATCCGGTTGGGACGCGAGAGCTGCGTCGCCAGTTTTTCGTACGCCGGGGCGATGGCTTTGCATGGTCCGCACCAGTCTGCGTAGACTATTTTCAAAGAAAAAGAAAATCGTTAGTAAGTTTCTTTCATGTGATCTGGGTAAACACTCTCATAGTAAAGAGTGCGAGATGAGATGGGACTCGGGATGAATGAAGGGACGATGAAGGTGAGATGAGGGGAAGCGCGGGGGCAGACAACGCTTCAGACAACATAAACTTACAGTCGGCCACAACAAAGACAGAAGATGTCAGGAGGGAGCTGAATTGCTCTTTGGAGGTTATGTGCACGAGGGATGACATCGTGGCGGTGATGTGGTGAGGGAGGAAGGAGGAATGGAAGAGGGGAAGAAGGAGAAAGGCTGGTGGTTGTTCCGGTGAAGATGAAGCAGCATCCATCGTTATATGTCATCAGCCCCTCCGTCCTTTCGTGCTGGCCCGCACTTGCGGTGTCTACAACAACCGCCATCGTGACTCGCTGATGGGTTTTGTTTGTTGGAGTTGAGCTATCTTGGATTTGTGTATGGATTTATTTTTATTTTCATCTTTTTGGTTAATATGATTCTAGTTGTTCTGGTTAAGATGACCATTGCGATGACAGAGCGACAATATATATTCTCCCTGGTAAAAACCACCAGCCAAAAGGCATTCTTTGTCTGAAATAGCCTGCCTTTCATATCTATAAACAAAACCGATCTCTTCTATAAACATGCAGTGAAACCCATGCCGTCACCCCCTCAAGTATTCCTAGCAAGGAGGTCCTTGCTCCCTCCGGTCCTGTTCCGGGGGTGCACGAAGTCCCTTCTCAAGACAGTCCTGTACGCCTGTCCACTTTCCGCGGAGATAGACGCAGGCTAGCATAGCCAGGACTATGAGACGAGCCATTGAAACCTGCGTCTATGTCCTGTCTAATCCAACCACTAGGTGGGAGGCGATGGCTCGTGCTATCAAGGATTCCGCCCAAGATAGAGCTCTCCAGCAAGAAGCCAGTCGGCCAGACTTGAAGACCAAATAGAAGATAATAACCGACACACTCGGTGCCAGTCTAGTCCAATCCAATCCAATCAATCAAGTCTTGAGCCCCCCATCCCCAATATCATCTCCATCCTCATTCACCGCAAACAACACCTTCATCCATAAACTACACCCCCGACACCCAACCACAATCTCCCCATGCTCAACCTCCCTCTCCAGCTCATCTTCTGTGACCAAAAACCCCTTCTCATCACCACACCGACACCCCCGATACCAAGTCGCCTGGCCCGTCTCATCGTCCCCCTCATCGCATGCCAAATCCTCTAAATCCACAACCTCCAGGCCCGTATGGAACACCGTCCCCGTCTTCTCTCGTCGTGCGGCCTTCTCGCGATCCAGGCGTAGTTCGCGATCGTATTCTGCGCGGAGTTGCGGATCCGAGAGCGTTCGGTAGGCGAGTGTGATTTGGTCGATTGTATAGGCGCTTTCGGGCACGGTTGGAGTCGCGAGAGAGGTAAGTAGGTTTGTTTTGGGTTGGGAGTATGATTGCGACTGCGACTGCGTCTGCAGGTCTGTATCTTTCGTCACTGAGGACGCTTTGTCCGGGTGGTGTTTTAGGAGGGCTTTGTGGTATGCGGTTTTGAGTTGTTGTTTGGATAGAGATGTCGTCGTCGTCGTCGTCGAGGTTGAGAATGGGAGGGAGAGGATCTCATAGTGATCGTGAGTGAGTGTGTGCGATTTGGTCATGATGGTGGTTTTGCGATTTTCGGTGGGATATTTTTTTAATGGTCGTTGCCCCTCGGCGGGCAGAGGGAGGGAGGTTGGGTCGGTTCTCTTGCGGCGTGTCGAGGGAGGATACTGGAGGGGGCTTGTCTATGGATAGAGTCTGGATGAGGCGTTGCGATGCCTGGGAGATGAGACTCGAGTCTGGCGGTCCCTCGGTGTTGGGGTTTGGTGTTGGAGTAGGAGAGAGGAAGGGCGCGGAGTGCGGAAGTGAACGTCGGAGATCAAACTTCAAAGTCTCGGCCGCCGCCGCCACCTCCGGATTGCTGCGACGCTTTGCGAACCATGAGGGATCGAATATCTTTGTTTATTCGGTGGAGTGTGCTGCGCACTGCAACAGTGGTCTTTCGATAGCCGACTTTGGTGAATTACGATGCTACAATGGTTATATTGACCGCGCAGTTGGGCCATGTTCTGGTTTTCAAGAGCATTGAACGACGAGGAAGTCAGGAACATGAGAAGTTTCTCTTCTGTATAACACAATGTCTTATGCCCCACCGAGTCTTCGAGACTTTAAGTATATATGGCAGCTAACGAAACATGATAGCAGGGCCATCCCTGTATGGCTAGAAATCTAAACGACACCAGCACCGGATATCAAAACAACACAGGCACGAACAAAACAAACGCAGTGCTTCACGGCTATAAAATATCATTCAAATCAAAAGACGAGATGCAGACTCTGCCCTCTTCACGCCTCTACTCGGAGGCCTTGAAGACATAGCGGTCCTCGGTCTTGAAGGGGACGCCGAGCTCCAGGAGCTTGACAAAGACGTCGGAGAATTCCTTGAAGAAGACATCGCTGTCCTTGGCGTAGCGGTCGACGTGCTTCTTGAACTCCTTGTCCTTGACCATGACGATATCCGTGGGCATCATCATCAAGGTGCCGGTGCTCTTGTCGGTGAACTGGGTCGGTCCGTTCCACTTCTTCTGCTGCCACTTCTCGTCAAGCAGGAGACGGAAGAAATCGTTGGTGAAGACGGTAGGGCTGAAGTCCCAGGGTCCGTCGAAGCCGGAGCGATCGGCGTGAGCACGGCCCAGGGCGTGGGCACCCACGAGGGCCACAATCTCCTGGTCGTTGAAGCCCATGCGGTAGAAGATGTCGCGGACGTGCTTGTGGTCCTTGGTGGCATCGGGCAGACGTCCGTCAGGGGTGCAGGCGGCGACATCCTTATCCTGACGACCGGGGCGCCAAGGGATGGCAGGGCCGCCCAGCTCTTGGATGGCGCAGGCGCCGGCCAGGGTCCAGAGATCGGAGTAGGTGATCCACGGGAACTGCTTCTTGATGGGCTCCAAGAAGTCCCGGGCCAGTTTGAGACCGGCATTGGCGCCGTGGTCGGACTCGGGAGCGAATCTCATCGTGGCACCGTTGCTTCCTCCAGTGTTGGTTTCCTTGTCATAAGTGCCGCTTGCGTGCCAGGCCAGACGCACGAGAACCTAATGACCCCAACGATCAATTAGCTTCTTCAACTCCAGATGCGCAAGGGAGAGAAAGATGGAGAGGAAGAGATGAGAGAATCATCAATTGGGGAAGAAAGAGACTAACCGGACCATAGCTGCCGTCGTCATAGTCAGTCTCATCGGCGAGACGACGGGCGATCTCGTCGTACACCTTCTGGTAGTCCTTCTGGGCAGGGACGAAGTCCTTGGAGCTGACCGAGTCGCCGCCGTTTAGGTAGAAGAAGGCACCGGCACCACCAGCGACGGCGAGACCAGCCCAGAGAAGGCCATTGGAGGACTTGCCCTGGCCAGCCTCAGAGGCATAACCACGACGGGACGAGGCACGGAAGCCCTGAGCGGGAAGAGCGAAGCGCGAGCTGCGGGCCGCCGGTCTGAAGGAGGAGGTGGCCGGAGTGGAGCGGAGGAAGGCCCGGGAGGCAGATCGAGCAGCCGAGGCCATGATGGATATCGAGAAGTGATGAGGACAATGGAAGGAAAAGAGATTGGATAGAGGAATGTGTACAAATGGTTGACAGATGGATGGAGCGTGAATGAAGGATCAATCACCGAGAAAGTGTGAAGAAGAGAGAGGGAAAGAGGAGAAGGAGGGAATGGCAGGTCGAAAGGAGGAGAGGAGGCCAGCAGGGGATGAGGATAAGTACTTAACTACCTATAGGGCGGCCAACCCATGGCTGAACGGCCTTCTGTTTCCAGACTCCCTCTCTTACCTCACCAGATTCCGCCCACAGGCACCAATCACCGAGGCCAAACTGGCGAGATCTGGACCGGATTCTTTTGACTCAGCGTCTAATTGGGAACTAGGTGGACTACGAAACTAAATTAGTCGACTCTCTCCGCATTTCCTGCAGTTGCTGTCGTCGCGATGAGGAGAAGGAGGAGCCGGATTGCGCGGGTGAGATTGACAAGCTTCAATCCCTCCGGTCTGTCTGATTGTCACGGCCATTGTTTACTCGGATGCTCGTCTGGATCAAGGTCCTCTTCTCAGGCAGCATGTTACTCGATATACCCTGTCCCATTCCAACGAACGTCGACTGTTCCTCACGAGGGGCAGGAACCAGAGCAACGACGATAACCTCGGGCGGGCCCCCAGCGTCATAACTCCCAAGATTACAAACCGCTCGTCGTTGTTTGGCAGACGAGATCCAGCTGGGATCCACTTCGGGGACGTTGCATTATTCATCCTTCGCTTCTGGTCGCTCCTCGGGACAGCGACCGAGGTTTCTCGAATTACTGTAGAAATCGACCAGTCGAATTACTCAGTAGGTTCATAATAACCGTCGAGTACTCCAGATAGGAGTCGAGATCTGAAGATGAGGACAGAAGTCGAACTTCCACAACATCAGCACTTCTCTTCCTGCGATGCAGTCATGAAGCAATGAGAAAGGGATGTGTTGCTAGTCCTACTAATGCAACATTCCTCAAGCCAATCTACATGGCTTCACCATCCAATTTCAATATTTAACATTTTATCAGGATTATGTCCGTCGTAAAAAAGTCCTGCCGTTCGATCAAGACGAACACCAGGGTGGAGTAGACGCAGCTCTGCTAAAAACTGTTTGGTTTTGATCTTCCACTGAACGAACTAAGAAAAAAGTATGCCTCTTCGCCATTGATCAAGCTAGAAGCGCACTGTGTGGTTGTTCGTTGAAACTATGACCTGCGCGACATGATGCAGGGAGTGTCGAGTATATAAAATTGTACGAAAATTGTCAACATCGCATGCGATGGCAATGCCGGGAGACGTCGACATCAGAACGACTCCGGGCACTGCGACGGATGGAGAGAAGAGCAAGAGGAAGAATCGACGGGAAGAAAAAGACGAGAAAAGATTCGACGTGTGTCACGTGGACGCTACGGCGGGCGGCTCGCTTGGGGTGGCCGCTAGGCTGAACGGGGCAGCTTGTTGAAGGTGGCAGCTGTGCTCTCGTTCTTGCCAGTACGGAGGATTGTAGTAGACACTAGACAGTCTTCCAGGATTTAGCAGTAATTCAAGGTACTCAGATGCTAGTGTTAGAGATGATCTTGACTATACTGGGTTGAGATGATAGGTGGGAATGCAGACACTCCTGACGCTTTCAATTCGTGGGTAGAACATAGCGCCGGTAGGAATATATAGGGCGAGTAGTCAGCCTGACTGTGTCTGTAAAATCAACATTGAGCCAGTGTCACTGCTGACTCTTCTTACCTCTCTCTTGAGGTCGTAGTGGCTACGAGTATGGCGTGTAGTTGTACACTATGTGAGAGCCAGGTCATGTTTGCCTCAGGCACTAATACACTGTCCCGCGATCTCACGTGACTCATGGGAAGACATTTAACGCGCGAAAACCCGGCGGCGCTCTTTCATTTCTTCACACTTTTCATACCTCCGAACGCATAATCAACCTCCAATTCCTCCTATCCATAGGATGGCAGGTCATATTGGCGTACTAGAATAATTACCCTAGGGCAATTTTAAGGCTCCTCTACCGTGCTGCTGCTTCTCCCGAAGCTTCAAGTGCGATGGTGGCTGGAGTCACCTGCTGTCCAAACATTCCTTTTTCTTAATCTTAGGATTGAGAGACGAGGATGTGTAGTTTTCTGAAATCTGTCTCGTATGGGGTATCTCTGTGTGTAGACAGCCCACGGTCCGTGTTGGGCGCATATTAGGCTGCTCTGGCTCACTTTATGTGGGTTTCCACAGTCCAGGCCGTGCAGAAGAGCCGAAAGGCCATCATTGTGCAAACCGCAGAAACTCGGCCGGCAATTAGATTGGCGCAGGTAAAGGCTTGCTTGCCCCTGATGTCTGGCTCATGCGAGGATCCGATGTCACCGTCCGGATTCTTAATTTATCCACGAAGTCGAACGGAGTTGGACTCCGACGTGGTGATAAATTAATCTCTCGCGCACATGGCCTCTATTAATAGCCAAGACACCGAAGAGGATCGAGCGATTCCATCTGCATGGATATTGGCACGGAATAAATACGGAGTGCGGAGGATAAATCCAAACAATCGTAGAAGTCAATCAATCTATAGTTACGTGTACTATCGTCCATCCTGCTCTGCCGTTGGCGATGGGAGTCGAATCCCACCGACCACAGCATTTCCCCACATCGATCATCCCTGGCCACTTCCCTCCTTTTACTCGCCTTCTCCCCTCCATCTCTCTTGGATCTTCGCTCTCAGCCCCCATCCACTCCTTGCCATCTTCCTTGCAAAAGAATTAAAAAAGAGTCTTGGGTTCTTTGTAAATATGCTTCGTCTTTCCGTCTGAACAATCCCCCGTTTCCCGCCCCGGAAGCTCGGCCCGTCGACTGCGACATTTTTTGGTTTCATCTGTGGACAATTGCACACTTTCCTTCATTCCTTTTTCTTCGACTCGGCTGGGCTCGATAGCAAGAACACGTCTTTCCCGATTTCCCGGTCATCATGGTGGTCGGTATTAGCAAGCGGTCGCAGTTCCGCAATGAGCGGGCGCTGCAGGATCTCATCCGCTCGGTTCCTGGCAATGACCGTTGCGCAGACTGCGATGCGATGAATCCAGGTGAGTTGCTCCGTCCGGATACCTCGGGCTTGAAGGATCGAATACTGACGGATTATGTGTTTCAATAGGATGGGCTAGTTGGAACGTACGTACTTCGAGCGCGCGCACCCGACTTTTGCGTCGAATATACAAAAGGACCCGAGGCTGATCGAATGGAATTTAATACAGATGGGTATCTTCCTGTGTATGCGATGTGCCGCTCTGCATCGGAAGATGGGCACGCATATCTCCAAGGTCAAATCCCTGAGTATGGACAGTTGGACATCGGACCAAGTCGATGTGAGTGTCGCGTGAGCAAATGGCCGGAAGAAAAAGGGGTCTGATTGAATCATGGCAGAATATGAAATCGCACGGCAATACTCTTATGAACAAGATCTTCAACCCGCGAAACGTCAAGCCCCCTGTCCCAACCGATATCGACGAGGCCGATGCGTGCATGGAACGCTACATCCGGCAGAAATATCAGCACCGAACCTTGGAGGATGGCAAACCGAAGCCGCCCAGTCGTCAGGACTCCAACCAGGGCATCTCCCCGGAAGGATCTCCCCCTCCGTTGCCTCCTAAACCGTCCCGTCCCGTTGGTTTCGGGCTGCGGTCGGCCTCTTCCGCTGCGGATCTTCGTCGGATGTCCGCGAACCAAGGCTCAATGGGACGACGTGAATCGCCACCGCCACCGGTTCCCAGCTTGGGTATGGGAGCCTCTGTTAACACTACGGGAAATCGGTCGTTCGAGTCGATGATGGCCACCCTGAGGGACATGGGCTTCCAGAACGAGCGTCGGAATGCGGTTGTTCTTCGAGAACTGGAGGGCAACCTTGAGAAGTCGATCGAAACATTGCAGAGACTGGGAGAGGGAAGCAATCCGGCGTCGCGGGCAAGGACTCCGTCCCAAGCAGCTGGAGCATCCTTCGGAGCCTCCACTGGGGCATCCAGCAATCCTTTCGATCAGCTGGACTCCCGGCCACCTGCGCAACCCAGCAACCCGTCCTACAATCCCTTCGACATACCGACAGCGCAGCCAGCGCAGCCACAGGCTCCCCAATTTCAGCAACCCCCACAACAGCCTCTGGAGCAGTCTTTCCAAAATCTCCAGGTCGCCCAGCCTCTGCAGCCACACACCACTGGAGGATACTTTCACCAGCAGCAGCAGATGCCGTTTGCTCAACCCTATTATCAACAGTCGGCCACTCCCGCTTCTGCAGCGCTCTCCCAGGGCGCGTTTGTGTCTTCTCCTCAACCTACGGAGGGTGGAAACAACCCGTTCTTCCAGACCGGCGCTCAAGCCCAGGCCAGTTTGGCCACTCCACCCGTTAGCCAGAACCCCGGTCTTGGTCAGACGAACCCTTTCTTCACGCAGCCGCCCAACCAGCCAGCGGCAGGCCCTCAGTCGACACCGGGATTCCCGCCGCCACAACATGCCAATACTATGCCGGCGTTCTCTTCCACCACTGCCTTCGGCCAGCCTTCTCCGTTCCAGTCGCAAGCGCCTCAGCGGCAACCTCAACCGACCCAGCAGAGCCAACCGACTCAACAGTCTCATAACCCGTTTCAAGCCATGACAGCTCCGACTACCCCGCACTCTGCGGGATACCAAGCCCCCTCGCAGTTTGGTTTCCAAGCGCCCACCCAGCATCTGGCTCCCCAGCCCACGGGTCGTCTCAACCCGGCAAACAAGAACAACATCCTCTCTCTTTACAACTTTTCCCCAACCCCGGCGATGACACCAGAAATTCCCCAACAATTTGCACCCTCGGCTGGTGCCAACCCGGCTGCTACTGGTTCGGCAAATCCATATGGCTCTTACGGCTCTGTACCTCAGATGCAGACGCAGGCGCAGGCGCCCACACAGCCAGGCGCTTTCCCGTCAGCAACACCCCAGTTCCAAACCCCTTTCTCTCAACCGGCCGCCGACCCCCAAGCTGCTGGTGCCTCTCGCAATCCTTTCATGAGCTCCACCATGCCAGGTGCCGCCATGATGTCGGCTCCCCAACAGCAGCAGCCTAACATGGGCTTGAACATCGCCGGACCGCCGATGGCAGGTGGATTTACTCGATCCCACATGAGCCAACAGAGTGTGGACATCAACGGCTTCCAGAATGGACGGCACAGCCCGGATGCATTTGCCAGCTTGAGCGCGCGGTACGGCTAGTGTATGCCCATTTTCTTGCACATTCCTTCTCTACATTCTCAAACATTTGAAATTCATGGTTATATACTTTTTTTTTTGTCTCGGCGAATGTATTATATGCGATTGTTGCATTTCTTGGTCGGCGTTGAAGGTGACAGGGAAATGGGCAGATTAACTAACATAGATTGAATGATGCGTCGAGCGTGGCATTTGGTCTTCTTGGTTTTGGTCTTGGTCTTGGACATGGTTGCCATAGATGGATGGATTGATGAAAATATAGTCAGTTAGTCTTGTGGGTAATTTGTTCAATTTAGACATGGTAAATTATCCATATCCTGGTATACTCATGTTGCTTTGGTGCCTGCCCAAAAATGATATGCAGCCGGATTCTGCCAGCATTACCACATTCCGCCTCTCAGATAAAGTTAAATCCGCTCACCCTGACCGCCAACGCCCGTCCGACTTCTCAAACCTCAATCTGAGCAGCCCATAGCAAAAACAGCCCCGGAGAATAAAAACATCTCTCGGAGCTGCAAAAAAGGAGCTACCTAAATTTGAAAAACGGGACTATATAGCCTTCACTTTTGTTTCTATAAAAATAAATTTTTTGCACTTAACTTCCCTTTATATAGTGAATAGGACCCTTCCAAACCCTTTGTCCCATAGAAATCCGTTATCTGACCATCCAACCAGACCCAGATCTTGTTTTTGAATCTGGTTTTTTAGAGTCTGGGTCATGTGATTCGGGGCCCCTGTTACGTAAGGGCCTGCCGTATTCCCGTTCAGGGTTAGCGCCTCCTGGATCGTAACGTAGATGTCTTCCATCACTGACTTCAACTTTGACTCAATTACGATTGTTTTCCTTTCGCTTTGCTTCCTGGCTACCGTATGGTTCTGTTGAGAATTTTTTTACCATCGGCTTTTGTGTTTGTTCCTCATTGTACCAACCTCTTTCTATCGACAGAATCATGTTGAAGCTGCACTCTTCTACCAGTAGTTCTGCCATGCCTCCGCGAGGTGTGGATGAGGGTGCTGCGATGGAGGAACCGAGATGTAGATCGGTGTCAGTATAGTTTGGAAGTATATACCGCACGCGAGCTCTTATATCTTTGTCAAGGTCTCTGGCAGTGCCGTTCCCGGTTTGGGCGAACGCCTAAAGCTTAGAGGCAGTTGATATCGCAGAATCGGGTAGTAGGGAAAGAGACAGCGAAAGCGACATGAAACAGCAAAACGAGAAACGATAGAAAACACGGTAAGACGATACCTAGGATCGATCGGTAATGGTTTCTCGAAAAATTTGATCGGGAGCCCTGGTCAAACTACGACATGTTACAGAATCTATGCACTCATGTTAGACGCCAAGAACTGTTAGGGTTGGTAAAAAGAAACGACCTGTCCGATCCAGGAGTCGTCGAACAATTCTACCTCCATTTTGGACTGCTATAAAGTCCACGGAGTGGGGTATCTGTAAGCAGGGAGGCTGAGAAGCAGGCGGAGAAAGGAAAAGAGAAGAGACTCGGGTTCAGTACTATCTTAGGTAGTCTCTGGAATAATGATAGAATTGCATCATTTTTATTGCATAGAGGATCTTTGGCTTCCCCCCTCAGGCTTACCAAGGACCGGTTCTCTTAGTGACAGAGGAACTGGACCATTAACTTTTCCATTCCCGTTCATTCACAATCCCAATCTATATTAACTCTAGTAGGTTTTCAATATAATTCACCCCGAGTGCCCTGACAAAATGAATAAGAAGAGGAGATAGATACGATCTCAAGAACTCCTTCCAACCTCCTTCCCAACATTACATTGCTTGCCAATCCCAGGCGTATCATCTCATCGGCTCTCTACAGGCCATGGACCATCAAGAATCCCCGTTTGGGATCCGGTAGAGAAAGAACAAATTGTTGTCGGCAACGAGAATGGAGTTCTGGGTTCGCTTTAACCAGAACGTGGGTCAGATTATGTCTTTTCCGCTGCTTGCATGACACCAGACAAGCGTATACGCTTCGCCGACTACAAAGCCTGTACAGATTGCTCCCTCTCTAGATATCAAAGTCCACGATGTTATTGGTATGAGCCCTCAGGGCTCATTGGGTTCGTGCACATTGCAAAGAGAAGAGTGCAACCTACCGTTGCCGGTCTATGGACCGGGACCAGGCGTACATGGACAACCACCGCCGCCTCCACCTGGCGGAGGCAATGGCGGAAACAATGCGGGAAACGATGAGCAACAGCCCCCCTCCGCCCCCTCCGCCTCCGAACCTTAACTGGAACTGGCATCCACCTTCGATATATCCCAGATAGGTAGGTGCCAGCATTGACCTTAAGTGGTGGCAAAGCTAATATAGGGTTCATCAGGGCAATTGGCTTATTATTTACAAACGTCATAAAGAAGATCCGGCCTCATCTCAACATACGACTATAATATCTTTCAGACAGACAACTTTTTGGGTCGAAGGGGAGGCTAACTATAGGAGCTTTGCTGTACCGCCTATCGTTGTTTTCTAGTCTATAAGATGAATAGAGCAGAGTTCGAAGAGGAAGGCAGTGATAGATATGATTAGAAATATGTACTTGAAACAAATTAGATAGGAGGGTTGCAAAGACAATCAAGGTTATGTGAGTAGAAAAAAAGAAAAGAACAATAGTAACAACTGACCACCCAAAAGCCCTACAAAACAGTAAGAGTAAATCAAAATCACGAACACACCTATCATGTACAAGAAAAATTGACAATCAAGATAAGACAGCTCAAATCAAGACCAATACTCTCGATCCTCGATTCGCGAATACTTTTTCTTCTTCCACAGGCCCGAGAGATCCGGGATACGATCGTCCAGCCAAGCGGGCAGTTGAACACCCATGACCGACCGTCTGCGGCGTTCCCACGGCCAATTCCACGACCGTTCAAGCGACCAGGACGAGCTGGGAGCTGACCAGGGAAATTTGGACGGAGTCCAGGCCTTGGGCCACGCCAAGGACCAGGGTTTAGGCGCGGGCTGTGTCCACCGCTGCCAGATGGAGGCGGGAGCGGCACCCTGCCCCGTCGCCTGACGCTTGATGTTCTCGATGATGTGATCGAAATGGCGCTCCTTGGCTTCTCGATCACGGTCGCGTTTCACGCCGGACCAGGCGGCTTGCTCGTTGGGATCGAGACACCAGACGACGATGTCGCCTTTTCGGCGCGAGTCGTCGTGCCAGGCGGTGTTAAAGGTGCGATGACATTCGCGGTAGGTGCTGGACCAGAGGATGCTGTTGAGGGTTGGTTCGAGGGCGGCGAAGAAGACGAGGTAGTCGGGCCAAGGGTGGGGGGTGATGGACTGGAATTCGGAGGTCGATTGCGACGAGGGATAGTAGTGCGGGTTGGTGTAGGATGGTTGACGCGGGACGTGGCGTGTACCGCCGACCATGTTTCTGCGGAGGAACTGGGCCGGGTTGGCGTAGAATTGGTCGGCTTCGTCGAGGTAGGTCTCTTTCTGAGTGGTGTTGAGGCCAACGGGTGGGTCGCAAGAGAGAGCCCAGGCGCGGAGGTCGGGGTCGACGAGGTGTGAGCGCCAGGGGGTGCTGTGGCAGGGCATGAGGAAGCCTGTCGTGGGTCCTGCCCCAGGGTGGGCATTCGGGGTGGTGAGGACAGGGGTGTGGGAGAGATGCTGGGAGCGGAGGTAGGAGAGAACGGAGAGGGTGCCCGAGGCGTGATGAAGAGTCGTGTATAAGGCGATGACGAGATTGACGAGGAGGAAGAAGACCAGAATGAGTCGTCGAGGCGTGTAATATCGGCTGGACTGGGAGACAGCCGGCAAGAAGAAGGCGACCAGGGGCGGAGCAGTCAAGACATGCAGCGAGGGGAGTAGTGGATAGATGAATCGTACTTCCTTGTGAGAGATCAAGGAGAGAGTGAACGGCATGATTAGGCAGATTAGCCCCAATTGGGCCTGCATTGAAGCTTGCGCATTGTCAGAGAAGAGAGACCGCTGACTCAATGCGCGATATAGACCGGGAATGGTGAAAGGAAGCGCGGTTGTCAGAAGGAGAGGATAACCCTGAGAGATGTAGTAGTGCCAGTCATTCTTTCCATAAAAGACTGCCAGCGATTGCGCGATATTGAAGTAGAGGAATTTCAGCGGTGGGAAGGTCCAGGTTCCGTAAAAGAGGCGATCCGACAATACCGAAATGGCGAGAATAACAGATCTAGAGGATGCATGAGCATTTCAACAGCTTATGTATGAGGCCATCGTACTCACCCGCAAATCAAGACTTCGCGAGCGAGAGTCTTCCTTTGGGCCCAGGAGCCGCGCAACCAGGCGACGCTGGCTAAGCTTACCCAGATCAACCCATTGGTCGGACGTAGGATACAAGCTAGGGCGGCGAGACAAAGACATTGGCGTAATCTGAGTGTAAATTATTAGCGAACCTGCCATCGTAAAGAGAGGCAATTCCCGTTCCTACCTCTTGAGAGGTACCGTGTCATCGGTCTCCTGTTCGGCAGCTGCTTTGCTAGCGGCGCGCGTATTTCTCTTGCTTGCAGTGGCCAAACTCACATTTCTGAACCATTCCCAGGGCCAGAGATAGAGTGCGACCACGGTGATGGTGGCTTCGAGGCAGTTCGACAACGTTCTGGTCGAGCAGAACCATTGCCAGGGGCTGACAACAGTTAAGGCAAGCTATCGCATTGTATCAGCCACATTCATAACTCTCGTCGAGTGTTCAGGAAACATACTGCCGCCCATGCTTCATGACTCCCTCTTCCATATGCTGAACGAGCTAGTTTCCATGTGTAGAAATCTCCAATAGCGGCGAAAAAGGCCTGCGTAACCTTGGGAGCGGCGATGAGGAGGTCGGCACGCGTCGCGGACAGGCGGAGAATTTGCGCGAGGAAGTCTGCGGCGGAATAGACGGCAGCGAACAGGAAGGGATGAATCGAAGATCTCAGGTGGTGTTTCCATTCCTATACGACGATTTGAATATTAGCATTCACGAAGCCTCCGGAGTTCGACGCGTTGACGGTGACCGACCCAGGTAATCCACGCTCCCTGATCCTCCCCAAAAGCGGCCTGCCAAGCGGGTTCCAGCGACTGAAAGAACTCATCGGGTTGGAAAAAGGTGCGCAGCGACAGCGCATTGAGCAGACGCAGTGAAAGGAGCGCAACGAAGACCGACCAGGCCGAGTAGGAATCGCTCCGCGCACCCCGATTCCCCGACTTCGTCATCGTCGATCGACTGCAGCAGTGGAACCAGTCCAGGGATTTAGTTTCTTCAGTCTTCCGTTCTCGATTCTCCGAAGTCCGGGCGCATGACAGCTGAGTCTGAAGTCAACACGATACTGCAAGAGGACAAGGTGGCCGGCCAAGCGGCGCGACTCCGCGGTGGAGCGTGGGGATCCGAGGAACAGCGGCGCACTAAGGATAAAATGTGTAATGAGAACGGCGTGTGTGGCCGGGACAAAAGCGGCTCTCCCAGACGGAGTGGATCAGGGCGTCATGGTACAAAAAGTCACGGCTAGACCTGCACTTAGAGGTTCATCGCAGGATGAACGGCTAGACTTGCGCTTAGCGGTCGATAACCACGGCCACCGCCTGGACGCCCTGCGATTGACGGTTTCGCCCGCCAGACGGTTATAAGATCGTGCTTTTCTTCTTTTCTTTCATTTCTATTTTCAATTTCCTTCCCTACACTACACTTCCTCTTCTTTTCTCTACTCGTTCTTGCTCTTCTCTCGCATAGATCCTCCACATCCCACTGTTTATCCCCCCCCACTCCTTGATCTATTGATCTGCCACTCTCCCACCATGGCCTCCAACGGTACTACCAATGGTACTCACAATGGTATCAGCAACGGTGCCGGTGCCTACCACGCTGCTTCCACCCAAGAGGCAATCCAGGCTGAGAAGGACTTTGCTGCCCACAACTATCACCCTCTTCCCGTGGTGTTTGCTCGTGCTCAGGGTACCTCCGTCTGGGATCCCGAGGGCCGTCACTACCTGGACTTCCTGTCTGCCTACTCTGCCGTTAACCAGGGTCATTGCCACCCGAAACTCGTCGCTGCCTTGGTCGATCAGGCCTCGCGACTGACTTTGAGCTCTCGAGCCTTCTACAACGATGTCTTCCCGCGGTTCGCCCAGTTCGTGACCGAGTACTTTGGTTTCGACATGGTGCTGCCTATGAACACTGGTGCCGAAGCCGTCGAGACGGGAATCAAGCTGGCTCGCAAATGGGGATACAAGGTCAAGGGCATTCCGGAGAACCAGGCGGTGGTCCTAAGTGCTGAGAACAACTTCCACGGACGAACCGTAAGTGTTGATTTTCCCTTGTAAATGAAGCTAATGCAAGGTTCGGACTTCGCTAATGTACGCCATCCCTACACTTAGTTCGCCGCCATTTCTTTGTCCTCGGACCCCGAGTCGCGTGAAAACTACGGCCCTTACCTACCCGGCATTGGTTGTACCATCCCCGGCACGGAGAAGCCTATCACCTACAATGACAAGGCGGCTTTGCGGGAGGCTTTCGAGAAGGCCGGGCCTAACCTTGCTGCCTTCCTGGTCGAGCCCATCCAGGGTGAGGCCGGCATTGTCGTCCCCGACGAAGACTATCTGCAAGAGGCGCGGGCGCTGTGCGACAAGTACAACGCCTTGCTGATCTGCGATGAGATCCAGACGGGTATCGCTCGCACGGGCAAGCTGCTCTGCCACGAGTGGAGTGGAATCAAGCCCGACTTGGTGCTTCTGGGTAAGGCTATCTCCGGCGGTATGTACCCGGTGTCGGCTGTACTGGGCCGGAAGGACGTTATGCTCACTGTCGAGCCTGGCACCCACGGATCGACATATGGCGGTAACCCCTTGGCCTGTGCCGTGGCCATCCGTGCCTTGGAGGTTGTCAAGGAGGAGAACATGGTCGAGAGGGCTGAGAAGCTGGGCCACGTCTTCCGCAACGGCTTGAAAGCCATCAAGAACCCCATGATCCAAACCGTGCGTGGCAAGGGTCTGCTGAATGCCATTGTTATCGACGAGTCGAAGACCAACGGACACAGCGCTTGGGATCTGTGCATGCTGATGAAGGAGAAGGGTCTGCTGGTAAGTAACCGTGGTTTCGAGGTCCCTTGAACAGAACCGAAAATACTGATGCGCGACCCAGGCCAAACCCACTCACCAAAACATCATCCGTCTTGCCCCGCCTCTCGTCATCACCGATGAAGAGATCCAGAAGTCCCTGGAGATCATCGAAGAGGCTGTGGATGAGCTCCCGAGTCTCAAGGGCGGTGCACCTCCCCCGGAGAAGAAGGCCAAGACCGGCGAGAATTAGGACTCCCATTCAGGAGTGAAAACCCTTGTGGGTGAATGACAAGCATGGGAGGCCGGTCAACAGTCTCAGCGATCGCGGGCATATCTCACCACCCTTATGCTGAAGACGTACTCGCCGGACAATGAACCCACTCTCGTCAGTTAACCTGACATTACTAGGGAGACCTCTATGTCTACCTGTCCAGGATAGGTTCTCCGGTGGATATGAGCCTCCTGATTGGGGGAACAGACACGGAGAAAGAGAGCGATGGAAGGAGTGTTCGCCCTTACGACCAAATCCTCAGGATTTATGACACTCAGATGCTATTTACGAATATTAAAGAATTAGCAAAAGAATGACATTTCATGATGATGACGATACCTGCAATATAAGCTTTCAGACTCGGCAAACCTCGAGTGTGCCATTGAATTGACATACATTTGCTCTATCATTCTTTACTACTACTATGAGTTGCGGCTCCTAAATCCATGCTTTTCACTTTCATCCCACTACACCGTACCTGGCTAATGGAGATCACACTGCAAGTCAACACCCGGCAACTTAGTCGTAGAAGAAAACAATTCAGAAAAATTTCTTCGATAGCGAAGTCACACTCGTGATCTATCGCTGCCGATGGAGACAGTCACCCAATCCGAAAACAATTGCTCTACCTTGATGTGACGCGGTGGCTGACGGAGTACACAATGAATCCGACGCAGCCTGGGGGTTATGCATGAACTATCGAGAGATTATTAGACAACGAGCATCCAGATTGGTCCAAAGTAGGAAAAATGAAAAGGCTGATCGTATACTCTCCACATTCTCAATAATTAATATTCACTGAAAGTTGGCATAAGCAGCCCATGGATGCTTGGGATGCTTGACTGAACTTGGCGATGAAGCTGCGTTTGTTGAGATATTGATATACCCCTTGACTCCAGGTGTCTTAGCTGGAGATCATGATCACGATCCATGGGATCAAGAGGATGAGTTTGCAAGGCACGCGACATGGCCCCAAAGCAGAAAACAATTGATTCCATGGAATGCTCATGGTTATTGCGGATCCCTTACACGACGGTCGTTGGCGCCACCGTCACATTTGACACGTCAGTCAGTCGAGGCCGATTTTGGGGGACTGCAATATTCATGCATATACATTGAATGAGACCCTATTGAATGATCATGGGGTTGTCTTTCTTCGTGTTCAATATTCGAGTTGCTCCATAACTGCTTGGATGATGCTATCGTGCTTCAACCTGGAGAAAGCGGTGGTGGTTGCAAGGGGTCAGGTGACGCATCTCCTTCCTTTGCGCTGCACTCGTTCTTTTTTCCTTCCCTGCAAAACACCGTCTCCAAAGTCGTGGATCGGACCAACGTGGCGTCCACCGGGGGAAAAGCCCCAATTCCTGATCTAAACATCATGCACCATGTGCCTTTTCGATTCCCATGGATTTCACCCGAATCGGTATGTGCTGGGCACGACGAGTCACCGCATTTATTTTTACACACATCCCGCACTCACAAGTCGATTGAACTATATTTATTGTTAAGGTGCATGAGGTCCGTTTCATTCTACTGGTGGAAGTCCTCCGACTGATGGTCGAGGTTCGTACGTTACATTCTATCGAGGATCTGCGGCGTCCCTTGCATAATGGAAAACCTGCTGATGCAAGGACCTGTCGATAGCGCCATTCGCACATTATTGTGAAATCCCACATCGTGTATTCAACACACCGTGCCATTCATTTTATCATGTCATTGGCTTCATTACATCTTGGCATTTCCAGGGCCTCGTCGAGTGAGCCTGATGTCGAGCCAACGGTTAACGTATCATCGGCCAAAAAGCAAGGAGAGACAAGAATGTGCCAGTGGACATTCCATTCGACGCTTCGGGCCTGCTTAGGTCCAGGTCACTCGTCACCGATCGGGAATCAAGGTTACCAGTTCCAATCAGTTGTGTAAATTCCACTGTTGCCACGAGGAGTTACATGAGAATCTCGCTCTGGGCATATCCTGGAAGGCGCTCGATTGCTGAAATAGGCTCCAGGTACAGAGAAGCGAAAGCAAACCCAAGCCCTCTCCCTCTCCTTCTTCTCAACCCCGCCGCATCAGCCTTGCGCCGCCCTTGCGAATGTGCCGGCTCTGCCTCGACGCCGTTACACATGGGATGTCTTGGATTAATTTAACTTAATCCATTTTTGACAAGAATGACATTCAACGCTCAAGAGAAGAAGGTCGCAATCCCAATTGCAGACGAGAAATCTCAGTCTCAGCTCACGTCGACGCGGACGAGTATACAGGATGGCCGTCCTGCAGACCAAAAGAAGGGGTCTTGGTCCTCGAAGCTGCCGAGTCTGAATCCGCTGCGATGGCAGAAGGCTCCCCCGATACCGGAGAAAAGGGCAGTAAGCCGAGAACATGAGGCTCGTTTGCCTAGTCGTATGCTTTTTCAATGGATTGAGCCGATTATGAAAGTTAGTAGATCGTCCTAGCCTGCATCGCCAGGATGATACTTACATTAGTATCTAGGTTGGCTATCTACGAGAGTTAGAAATCCAAGATATCTGGGCAGTCAATCCGGACAGATCTGTTGATTTCCTATCAAAAGAGCTTGGATCTAGCTTGGAACGGCGACTAAAACGCGGCGACAAGAAACCACTGGTAGGCGCTATCTATGAAACCTTCAAACGGGAGTTCTGGATTGGCGCGATATGCCAAATTCTCGGGACTGTTATCATTGTTTTGTCCCCTCTTGTCATCCGCCACCTGATCTCCTTTGCGATGGAGGCATATGATTCTAGACATGGCCTTCGCCCTAGTCCGCATGTTAGCTGGGGCATAGGTTATGCTCTAGCTATCTTTTTCATGCAAGTAATCCGAGCCCTCTGCATGAGTCAGTCCTTCTATAAAGGCGATGTGCTGGGAGGTCAAGTCAAAGCTGCTCTGATCTCGCTGATTTTCTCCAAAGCAATGAAGTTGTCAGGGAGAGCGAAAGTGGACGGGCGCCAATCTGGAGAGAATGATCAAGAACATAAAGACAAAACAGAATCTAACCAAGATGAGATTGCCGGCTGGAATAATGGTCGAATTACCATGCTAATGGGGGTCGAAGCGGATCGAGTTGATAGAGCCTGTGGGAGCATTCACCTTCTTTGGGCCACACCAATTTGCCTGGCTGTCGGTCTTGTGGTTCTCTTGTTCACTATCGGACCCAGCGCGCTTTCCGGGTACGGGTTCATGTTTCTTTCAGTGATCTTCCTGACCTACATTGTGCGGTGTCTTGTGAATTTACGGGTGACGGTCAACAAGACCACGGACCAACGTGTTTCTTTGACTCAGGAGATCGTGTATAACGCGAGATTTGTTAAGTTCTTTGGCTGGGAGAACTTTTTCCTGGAAAGACTTCGGAAACTTCGACACACCGAGATGCATTCTCTCCACAAACTGCTCGCCGTACGACACGCCGTCATAGCCAGCTTTGTATCCATGTCTACTTTTGCAGCGATGTTTGCCTTTATCACCTACGCATTCTCAGGCCACGGTGCTGAACCCGACAATATCTTTGCGTCATTTGCAGCCTTCAATGCGCTGCGAGCGCCTCTCAGCATGATGAACTTGGTTATCAGTACCGCAACGGATGCCTGGACTGCCTTGGACCGACTCCAGGATTTCTTCAGGGCAGAGGAGCGAGAGGATTTCGTCGATTGGGATATGGGTATGAGAAACGCGATCGAGATGGACCACGCATCATTTACATGGGAGCAAGTGCCCTCGTCTAAGGGACCAGACGCGAACAGCACCGAATCAAGTCGCAGAGGTTCCTCGTCCGACGACTCGACGGAGAAATTAGCGCATGCCAACCGGCGCTCGAGGGAAAGTGCAGAGCAAACGCCCTTCAAGATTTCCGATATCGACCTGCAGGTGGGCCGTCGTGAGTTAATTGCTGTGATTGGAACCGTTGGCAGTGGAAAGAGTTCTTTGCTGGGGGCGTTGGCGGGCGAGATGCGCTTAACGTCTGGAGGAGTTCGCATGGGCACGACGAGGGCGTTTTGTCCTCAATATGCGTGGATTCAAAACACCTCTGTCAAAAACAATATTCTCTTTGGACATGAATATGACGAAACAAGGTATAACCAGGTAATTGACGCGTGTGCCCTCCGCTCGGATCTCGCCATGTTTCCAGACGGCGAGCAGACCGAGATTGGTGAGCGTGGAATCACCATATCTGGTGGTCAGAAGCAGCGACTGAATATTGCTCGGGCCATCTACTCGAACTCCGAGCTTGTCCTCTTGGACGACCCCCTGTCTGCGGTGGATGCACATGTTGGACGCCAGATCATGGACAAAGCCATCTGCGGGCTTCTCCGAGATCGATGCCGAGTTCTGGCAACCCACCAGCTTCATGTGCTTGGCCGCTGTGATCGAATCATCGTGATGGACCAAGGCCAGATACATGCCTTTGACACCTTCACGAACCTTATGCAAAACGATGAAGTTTTTCGATCCATCATGTCAAGTACTGCCCAGTCAGAAGCTTCGGACAAAGAGACCCCCAGCCACAATACGGAGATCCAACCAACCGAGGAGAAACCCAAAAACGAGGGCTCAGGCGCTGCCCTGATGCAAACGGAAGAAAGAGCCACAGCTTCTATGGGGTGGGATGTCTGGAAAGCATACATATCCGCGACTGGCTCCATCTTTCACCCATTCCTTTTCCTTATTCTGACCCTCCTTGTCAATGGCGCAATCATCATGAACGGGCTCTGGCTATCCTATTGGACGTCCGACAGGTACCCTTATCTGGGCCCAGGAGGCTACCTGGGGATTTATGCTGCCCTCTGTGTAGCCCAGTTTGTCATTGTTTACGTTTATTCGTTTCAACTCACCTACGCTTCTTCTAACGCTGGCAAAGCGATGCTTCAAGACGCCTTGTATCGAGTCATGCGAGCACCCATGTATTTCTTCGATACAACGCCCCTGGGTCGCATTACCAACCGCTTCTCAAAGGATGTTCAAGTATTGGACAGCGATCTCGGAAACTCGTTACGAATGTTCGTGATGATGTTCTCTATGATTGTCGCTACCTTGGGTCTGGTCGTTGCCTACTTCTACTATGTGAGTGATTTCTATCTGACCAGGTTATTTGTGCCTTCCATTATGATTCTAACCGTTACTGCCAGTTCGCCATTGCCATACCACCGATGTTCTTCCTGTTTTGGCTTATCTCGTCTTTCTACCGTGGTTCAGCCAGAAGTTTGAAGCGTCACGAAGCAGTCCTCCGTTCTGGGGTGTTCGCACGCTTCGGTGAGGCCATTACTGGCACCACCTGCATCCAAGCATATAACAGAGAAGAGCATTTCCGACAGGTCATCCACAAAGCTGTCGATTCGATGAACGGTGCCTACTTCCTCACCGCTGCCAACCAAGGATGGCTCGTGGTCCGGGTTGAAATGGTAGGCGCCATTCTTATTCTCATCGTCGGCATCCTCGTCGTCACCTCTCGCTTTAACGTTGGGCCCAGCGAGGCAGGCATGGTCCTCTCACTCATGCTCGGAATAACGCAAAACTTCCAATTCTGCGTCAAAGAGTACGCCGAAGTCGAGAACGACATGAACTCCGTCGAGCGCATGCACCACTACGCCAGCAACCTCGAACAAGAAGCACCGCTGGAACTGGGCCAAGTGGCCCCCTCGTGGCCCGAAAAGGGCCGCATTGTATTTGACAACGTCGAGATGTGCTATCGAGAAGGCATGCCGCCCGTCTTGAAGGGACTCACCATGGATATCCGCGGCGGCGAACGCATCGGCATCGTGGGCCGCACCGGCGCCGGCAAATCTAGCATCATGGCGGCGTTATTCCGAATGACCGAGCTCTCCGGCGGCAGTATCAAGATCGACGACACCGACATCTCACGCATCGGGCTCCACGAACTGCGCACGCGCCTTACTATCATCCCTCAAGACCCAACCCTCTTCCAAGGCACCGTCCGCTCCAACCTCGATCCCTTCAACGAACACAGCGACCTCGACCTCTGGTCCGCCCTCCGAAAAGCCCACCTCGTCGGCCAGGACCTTCCCAGCGGCAACACCTCCTCCACCACTCCTGCTCCGACAAACCTCTCCCCAAATCCCTCACAACGCCTCCATCTAGACTCCACCGTCGACCAAGACGGCCTGAACTTCTCTCTCGGCCAGCGTCAACTCATGGCCCTAGCACGGGCTCTGGTCCGCGACTCCCGGATCATCGTCTGCGACGAGGCCACCTCCTCCGTGGACTTCGAGACCGACGAACGCGTCCAGGAGACCATGGCGACTGGGTTCCGGGGTAAGACGCTTCTGTGCATTGCGCATCGTTTGCGCACGATCATCAACTATGATCGGATCTGCGTTATGGATAAGGGCAGGATCGCGGAATTGGATACTCCCTTGCGGTTGTGGGAGCAGCGTGGGGGCATTTTTAGGGGGATGTGCGACCAGAGTGGGATCTCGAGGGGTGATTTTGGGGAGTAGACGGTTGATTGATGGATTGATGGGGGTTAAGTTGAGTTGAGTTGAGTTTGAATTGGGTTTGCTTCGTTTGGTTTGGCTTGAAGGTGTGCTGATTGATGGTTTTGTGTGCGAGAGTGAGAGTGAGAGACGGGTAGATATACAAGGTGTACAGAGAGTAAGAAGAGATTATAAAAGGTAATGATTGTTTTGCTTTCATGGAATATATTGGATTAAATGGATGGATGGATAGATTGGAAGGACAAACACCTGATAGGATCTAAAATAGAAGGATGGATTATGTTGAAGATGTACGGATATAGTTACATGTTCTTAATTATTAATTAACTAAAAAATCGATAAAGCCCTCTGTTCTAAGCACTCGAATACCGCATCTAACTTTTATCTATCTCTAACTATACCCTCCAGCTCTACCCAACAATTCTAGCAACCAAACCCACCTACCGATACCTCACCGACCCCCTCCTATGCTCCGAATACCTTCTTTCTACCCCATAATGCTCTTCCTCCTGACTCTGTCCTCGTCCCCGTCCCACCTCTCCACCAGCATCATTACCATCATCAGAGCCTTCCCCGGGAAACTTCGGCGGGCCGCCTAAGCTCGCCAACACGGCCGTGTTGTTCGCAGTCAAGTCATCCAGGATGTCGAGTTCGATCTGCGAGAACCATTTTGGGATGATGTATACGCGGAAAGGGATCATGGCTGTGATGAGGATTGGGAAGCCTGGTTTATATCGAATTAGTGATTTTGTTAAGTTTGGGGTTGGGTTGGGGAGGGACTGAGAAAGAAGGAGAAAGAGAAGAAAGGATCAAACAAACCAATAGCAGCCACCGTCTGCGAAACTGCCACACAAGCAGCAACACCAAAGATCTGACACGCGACATACGCCACAATCTTCCTCTTACGGACCCTCAGCAGAGGCTCATCCCTCTGAATGAACCGGTTCTCCATAGCCAGAAAGACAAGTTTCTTCAGGATCCCATTCGACTCGATGGAGCCCCATCCGACGATGAAGAAAACACCGGCAAAGACAGCAGCCGGCATGGTGTGCAGGACAATGAGGAGGGGACCGGTCATGGTGCCGATGATGGCCAGACCCATGAGGAAATGGGAAACGCGCTGCTCGACGACGGCGGTGGCTTTTGTGATGGGACGGCGGAGTTCGGCGCCTTCACCTTCGGAGGTCGGGATGAGGGCGAGCATGGTTTCGTAGATGGTGAGTGAGTCGGTGTGCACGGGGGCCTTGTCTTAGGTTAGATTTTGGGGACAGGGAGAGATTTGGTGATGGGGGAGATTGGTCTAGATACCTGGGGAACAAGGCCGTTTGGCATTGGGATTCCGGTGATGCCGGCGAGGAAGGTCGTGCAGCCGAGGAGGAAGAAGTCCCAGTGGAAGCCTGCTGGTTTCTTGAGGGGGAACTGGCGCGCTTGGGCACCGAGACTGCTTACATTCTGGATAGGTATGGTCAGATGATAGATAGATGAGACGAGGATGGGTAGGCTTACATGATCGTAGTAGAACAGCAGCATGATGAGAAAACCAAATGGCAACGCAGCAAAGACCCATTTCACCTCCAGCTCCCAGAAATGAATTAACCAGCCCCGCGGCTGCGTAGGATAAAAGGCCCGAGTAATGGGGACGAAGGAGATACCAGTGGATTTCAGGTTTCCTGGAATATGGGCAAAGCCTACCCAGAAGATTGTTGCGATCTAGATGTACCTTGTTAGAGTCGCTTATTTCAGGGGATCAACAAACATACTACATAGGCATAATCTGCCAGTAATCCTCGAAACCATGGCCGACAGATAGTGCTGGACCCTAGCATCTCCAATCCATAAATGGTTAAGAAATACAGGATGGCAATCATGGTGCTCATGTAGCCAGCTGCCGATCCGTACTCGCTAAATTCGCTGACCAGTTCCTCGACTCCCTTTACTACTTGTCTTCAGTATGCTATTTCCAAAGGACTGCGGAAGACCTACTGCAATAGATGATCCCGACATAAGCACCAAACGACTCGGATGAAAAGTCCGTCACATATCGCATGTAATCGCAGAGATTACACACGGCCACGATCCAATGAAAGATAGCCGCCCAGATAGCGGTCCAACACATGAAATTAGCATAAATCGCAGGTTCATATCGCGTGACAATATCATAGATTGTATAATTGAACAACGAGATGAGACCGGTGATCCCGACAATGGTGAGCGGCTGCGCACCAAGCAGGCTGAAGATCATAGCAGCCAACGCTGAGGAAAAGAGCGCCTCGTTGATGCCATAAAACTCACCGGTGCGACGGTACATATCTAAGGTGTAGGCGATGGCGGGGAGTATACTGAAACCTCTGTTATTAGATAGCTCAACGCATTCTTATCTGGGAGACCTACTTGACAAAGTACATCCGGATGGTGCTGGCAATTGTCCGGTATGTCAGAGCATCCGAAAAGTCACTCCAGTAGTAGGGCAGGCGCCGTCGAACATCATGGTACATTCCACGGAATGGTCTTAAAGGACGTAGGCGTTTCCATCCAGAAAGGTTGTCGTAACTATAGGAAACGGAGGATTTCTCCCTAGTAAGATGAGAGAAGTCCGACATGGTGAGATGGTTGGGTATGGACAAATCGACAAAAAGAAAAAAAGGAATAAAAAAAAGTCGAGACTTTTATAGTCTTATACGTTGGTCGACTTCGCTTAGACATTCCATTAGCCACTGGTCTTAACGCTGGGCGGAAATTTGCGTATCAGCAGGGGGATAGAAATAATGATTAATGCAATGCTGCCAGCACGCCCACCGAGCAACCCCCAAACTCATTCCTCGAAGGACTCGACAAGGCGATCTGTGGCCACTATCTATTTCTTAATTTTCACCAATGCTCATAGAGTTGTCGTTTCATGAGTATCTGGTGTGCATAACGTCATGTGTAGAGGCCGCTGACTCATCCTTCTACCTGAATCTGCCTGGGGCAGAATTTTGCCATCCCATCAGAGTATGCGCTGACACAGAGTATGTGGATCACCACTGGCCCATATGCTGGTCTACTTTTGACATGGAAAACTCATTATTATTATCATCATCGGAAATCATCTCCCAGCTCTGTGATCTCCTTCAGAACCCTGATTTTCACCCACAATTAGCATCGGCCATCGAGAGGCGGCATCAAAGCAATGATCACGATCACTTATTCCTGCAAATTCAAGCTTCTCTCTGCACCATTCCATCAGCCGATTTGCACCAAGGCCCTTTGATTCTGGTTAGCTCATTTATGTCCACTTGCATGTTTCTGTTCTAGCTGACGTTATAGGGCTGTATCGATCTCAATGATGGGAAGCTCGTACCACCAGCGCGGCTTACCCCTGATCAATCCAAAGACGATGTTGAACCCTTAACACCGCAATCCATGGTAGATGAAGCTTGCTCTCGATCTTCGAAACGTCGAAAAACTGTCAGTGGTCTCCGGCTTGCTCCATTCAAGTCAACAGCTTCACTTAACGAAGAAGAACTTGAAAAAGACAATCAAGACACTTCAGTTCCTGGAAGCGGTGTTTCCGATCCCCAAACAGCCTCAATCCGTCAAGTACATAGCGACACAGGATTCCCGCAGCGCAAAAAGCCAGGAGATAGCTCTGTTCCAGTAATGGAGCCCACGTCAACTGATAAACTCATATCCGGAATCTGGCGTCAGGTCTTCTCGCCTGTGCAGTTGAGCCGGCTTCCATCCGTATGTGGAATGATAGAGCCCAGTATCAATATCCGTACTGGAGTAAGTGGAGATGTCTTCCGCGCTGTAAACACGCTGTGTTTGAAATACTACAACCAAAGCCAGTCGTCTCGGGCCTTAGAAATGGTCGTGCAAGCCTATTGGATAGAGTGCTACGAGGCCCGCATCGCCGTGATCCGGCTTCAAAATCCGAACTTGTCCATCACGGAGGCCCGAATGATAGCACTGAAGGAAACTTGTGCCGTGCTGAAGTGGAAAGAAAAAGACCTACGAAACCGGATGTCAGTCAGACCTATTTGTTGACTCATCACCCCTTTCCTAAATACTGACCTATAATCCAGGGCGATCTGGCGTGGCTACAAGGAGATCAAAGACGCCGGGGGATGGGCCAGTCTGATCTTCGCCAGCGCGGGAGTCTACCGATTCTGCAAATACCGCACAGGGTTTGGCGAGGGACTCTCCACGCGCCTGCGTCATATTCGAAGCAGTCTCGAACTTGCGGTTGACACTTTGCACCCCGAATGGCGAGACCTCCTGCAAGTCATCGGTCAGGTCGAAGCACCTCGATACCACGGTCATCCTCACGAATGGGTCACGGTGACCGGCGAACCGGCGGTTCCATTAGCTTCGACATACGCACACCTTCACCTACCAAACGGATTTCAGTATCAGTTCATCGACGAGTGTGTCATAGATTGTGCAGCATTCGGCACCGATGACCCGCGCCAAGTCCCCGGTCCCGACCCCGAGACCTGTCCCGTCTGCGCGCAACGACAGTCCGACGAGATTGAGAAGAACCAATGCACATGCTTCCCAGCATTATTCGGTGGCATCCGGGGGACAGTACCGGTACAACTGTTTCGTACGACGAGCGGCAAGAACAACGGAGTCGTAGCCCGCACTGTATGTTCCCCCTTCTCCCTGCTTGTAACATGTAACAAGCTTTCCCACACCTCCACCATGTCCTTGAAACTCCCGTTCTCGCGCGTCGGAGACGACATGACCATGCTGAGCTCGATCTTGGGGAAGTCCGTCCCGTCGTTGATCACGCGCAGGAGTCCGCCCTAGAGCGGATACACCGTGGCGTCGTTGGCCGTTTTGCCGGCCCACATCCTCGTGGCGTTCACGATGGCGGCCTCGTAGATCTCCAGCAGGTGCTCTTCCTGGACGAGGAGGTCCAACACAATAAATCAATCCAATGAGCCAATGAATAACCCTCTCTATCCAATATAGTCCATCGACCGCGGCACCGCCATCGGCGAATTCATCGGCCTCGTAACGAACGGCATCTCCGGCGTGGACGTGATGCAAGGCGGCTCGCACAAGAAGCAGACGTACCAGATCTACCAAGGTCAGATGGGCAATTTCACGCGCTTCATCAACCACTCGTGTCGACCGAACAGCCAGTTTCAGCGATTCTACTGGCGCGGGAAGGAGCGCATCGTGGTGGTTTCGCGGGGCGTGGTGGCGGGAAGTGAGATCACGGTGGACTATTCGAATCAGTATTGGAATCAGTTGGATAAGAAGTGCCTTTGTGGGGAGGTTTGTTGTCGGTTTAGTGGGAGATGAGGGGAGTTTGGAAGGATGGAAGTAAGGAGGTGGGACGAGATGAGATGGTTGGTGATGGTAGATGGTTGTGGTTGATGGAGGAGGAGGAAGGAAGAAGGAAGAGGCGTGATGCGGGAGACGAGATGAGAGGGGTGACACACAGGTCACATGGCTGGTAGGTCAGGCTCACGGGACGATGGGTTTTGTTGTCTAGTTCACAAGAGACCTGGCTTGATGCGCTGTGTGTGGTTTTATCTGATTTTTGATTAAATGAATAATCCTGATACCCGTATGTCGAGATGACAAGAATGTAGTTCTGAGATAAGATACAGTTGAAGAACCCTAGTTAAGTATCCACTCACTAAATTGCGATTGAGAAGTACCTAGCATGATAAATAACTAGCAGAAGCAGCTGCTGACTGAAATTAAAGCCCGTATTCAACGACACACACCGGCTGTTTTATGTGCTGCTGATCCACTTAGGATTGTGCAACCCCCTAGTCCAACACCTTCGACATGTTGCATGTCCTCCTATCGCGTGCACACGTCAGATTAGATAATTTAGCCAGACCAGATGAGCCATGACAGGAGAGGAATGCCTCGTCAGGCAAGTCTGGTCCCGCGCATCCACTGATCCACCAATAACGGAATACTTGTGCAACCCATCAGCACACCACCACGGCAGTAGTCACTCTCCTACGGGCAACTAGCTGCCCCTCTCGCAACGCTGGACCTTCTGACCGGATCAGGATGTACCGGAGATACATCCTAGCTCGCCCAGATCGACACGGCGAAACAAGTACCGGTACCTCACGGAATCCTATTCATGCTATTAACTAAGCCCCCTGTCAACCACACCCTCTAGCTCATCACCGGCCATGATTGGAGAAGAGACCTGTCGTCGCCACCTCCGAGGAGTTCGTCTCTCGAGAGCTCATAAACCCTGCTGCCTAGATCGAGTGGATCCGGCAACATAGCCACCAGGGTCCAGATGGAGCAAGACAGGGTCGATTGGGAGCCCAGCGGACGCTAACTTTAAATATAAGCTTATTTAGACGTCCCCGACGGTTCTATTCGATCCCGCACGCCTTCAAAGTGAATCTTGCAAGCCCTTTTCGTCGACCCCGATGCCTCGGGAGTGGCAAATTATGCTGCGGCAAGTAGGGCTTGAAGTCACGTGCAACAGAATCAGATCCACGTCTCGTGGAATGCCCCCAAAGAGGAAAATTGATGGAAAAGCCAAATATTAAAACCTAGTTAAGTCGGACTTTAATCCGGTGTGGATCTAGTGTTGAGAGTATGGCTTCAGCAAGAAGATCAGCTGTCGTGTGAGTCGAATCCTGTCATATCGGCTGCTATACACGGTCCCTCCGCCCATGACGTGTCCATCCAGCTCACAAACAAGTTAGCGGAGGACCGTGTGTAAGGGCTGGACACTATATATCTGGGGGTGTCAATCCATTCTGGAAGGGGTAACTCCAACGAGACCGCATTCTGAAAACTCTGCAGACGATCGGCTGGCACGAGCGCTAGGAACGGCTAATGATATCGTGATCGTCAAAAGAACCTGTCCCTCCCAACCGGATGACGTTTAACCAGAGGAATATCATTAGTCGACGGCTCGACGCACGAGGGGTTGAGGGGAAGAGCGCCGGTCGGACTTTTTGTCCGTAGCCTTGTGAAATCCCTGCAAAGGCCGAAGAGCGAAAAAAACCCCCATCACATAAAATTAATAATGCGAATACTAAAGGTGATAAATTTCGAGGATTGATTGCATCAGCGGAAAAACGGATGGCAGCGCTTCCCTCTCTCGGTGGGTCGCACGGTTCGGCTTCCAACGTCCGAGAGACGGGCAGAGTTGCCTGATCCTGCCTGATCCTGCCTGTCCGGGCCGTCAGAGCCGCTGGAAATAATAAAGGAAATGAAGAGAGAAAATGGATCCATGGATCTGGACACAATGGGGCTTCACGAGGGAAGAAGAAAGAAAAAAAGAAAAACTAGAAAAGAAGAAAATAAAATAAAAACAAAAATAAAAGCGGCGCCGAAGCCGAGCCGGTGCATCCCTATAGGGCAAGGATTGGTGTTTAATCTTAGTCCCTTAATCAGTTAATTAGTCGCGCATCAAGCATTGACCGCCAAGCCCGCGCCCTTTCATGCTCGATGACGATGGATTTTCATTCAATGGATCAGCTCACTGTCTCCTCTGCACTAAGAGTGGAGCTGCAGCCGGAGAACTAGTCGAGGTACTTAGCAATCATATGGAACAATAGTCGCGTACTCCGTACTAACTCCGCTAAGGGTAGCTACGTTCTACCGCCCACCGAGGAAGCTCTTGGCTCCGAACAAGCAAGTTATGACTTATGAGCTAAGCGTGGACTTGCGTCCGGTAGACGGTCAAACAGGGATTGATACGAAAGGAGTCATAGACAACACGAGCAAAATGGACGGGAACAGGCATCGTGAAACGCATACACCGTAAGTACGAGGTCAGCAAGAGGGGAAACGGACCGGGGGCTCTGAGGTGGCAGGGCTTGACTCATCGCCAGGAGCACAAGTCTCGAGAGAGAGAGAGGAGAGAACAAAAGGACCAGAAACCCGATCCGGCGACCCCGTTGCCGTCTCTTGCCGCTCCATCTCGACCGCGCCTGCCACATCCGATTGATCCGATGCTTGCCAGATCTGGTGACAAAACAATCCACCGTGACCATCACTAAACCTCCCATGGCAAGTCATATGGCAAATCGTTCAATATTTTTAGGATCCCTCCCGACGGCGCCGCTCAGGGCCGTTGGCCTAGAGGGGGTACTCCCGTAAAGAGATCTTATTTTATTTTTCCTTTTTCCTTTTTCTTTCTTTCTCGCTCCTCTCTCTGTGACGCTTATAAATTGCGCTTAGCCCCGCTCTTCCTCAAAGATTGCTGTCCTGGTAAGACCTGCTCTTTTTTTTTTTCATTAGCAACGGCATCATTCATACACTCTCCGAGACAACTTCAATCTCTTGATACTCGACCTCTCTTGTTCGCTGCTGTTCGCTGCTTAACCCTTTTGACCACACCTCTCGGCTTGACATCATAATGGAAGCTCAACCAACGGTCTTGGCGTCGCGCCAGTCTGGGCGGAGCTCCGAGAGTAGCTCGCTGGATGCCATTGCGAGCGAGAAGCAGAAACTAGCCGCGACCAGCTCATCGTCGCAACGCAGCCTTCCGGATCTGCACAATTCTGCGTCGCCCAAGCGATTCAAAACTTTCTGGAAATCCTTCCGATACCTGCAGAACCTGAGTCCCAAGCAAGTGGATGACTTCATGGCGTCCTACGTGATCTATAACCTTGATTGGTCGGACGAAAAGCAGATGGTTGAGGAATTGGGCCCCAATTACCAAGAGAAAGTCGGCGATTGCCTGAAGTCGTACTATGGCGTGTTGAATCACCTTTGCGCGCTAGGCGACGTCGAAAAGATGTATATCCCCCCGTTCATGAGTAAGAAGGCGACGGTGTTGGAAAACCAGCTGTTGTATGAGGAGTCGATTGCGGAGGACATTGGGTTGGAGAAGGACGACAAAGTGCTGGATTTGGGTTGCGGCCGCGGCCGCGTCGCAGCGCACATGACGCAATACTCCGGTGCCCAAGTCACGGGGCTGAACATCGATCCCAACCAGATCGCCCAGGCTCGCTCCTATAACGAGGAGTGTGGCTTCAAGGACAACACCTTTGTCGTGCAGGATTTCAACAGCCTTCCCCTTCCCTTCGAATCCGAGTCCTTCGATGCCTTCTACCAAATCCAGGCCCTGAGTCTATGCAAGGACCTCCCCGGTCTCTTCAGCGAAGTCTTCCGTGTCGTCAAACCCGGAGCCAAAATCTCCCTGCTCGATTGGGTCAGCTTTCCGGAATATGACGCGTCGAACCCCGAACACGCCGAGCTCATGCGTCGCGTGAAGCCGCTCATTGGGGCCGTGGGAACGCCTACTCCCGAGAGTCTAGAGAAGGCCTTGACCGATGCCGGTTTCAGGGTGACGCGATCGGATAATGCTAGCGTGGGTGGGTTGCAGTCACCGCTGATCGAGAAGGTAGACTTCTACTTCCGATCCATGCGACAGGTGATCCTCGGACTGGTTAAGACCCACGTGCTACCCCGGCATTTTAAGACCCTGATCAACCGGCTGTGTTTGGATGGCGAGGCTTTCGTCAAGATGGACCAAATGCGACTGGTGACCACAAGTTACCGCATCATTGCGGAGAAGCCTCTTCAATGAGAGCGTGTCGTACAAGGATGGACCTGGAGGAAAGATTGTTCGGGCACCGGTAGTTTCGGTTTTGTGTTTGGTCAACCGGATGTGGATAAGTGAATGACCTGTCACCGTGTCCCTTCAACATCCGTCTGAACACACCATCCCCTCTGGTCAGAAGAAGACCAGGAAGAGCATCCGAGAGACTGGCGCCGCAATGGTGCTACATGTCCACTGGCTCGACATGATCATCTGTCCATTTGACTTCCCGTTGCTGTGTGGCCGGACGGGCTCGGGGTTGTCTTTTGGAAACTGCCTTCACATCGCATCCGACCGCAGCACTCTGTTTTTTTCCAAAGTCCATCCCTGTCCTGCGAAGTTTCGATTGTTTGCCAGAAGGTGAGCAACTGGCCCTTTCCGTCCGGTTGTATTCGCCACGTGCCTGGTGGCCCTTTTTCATCGTGGATACCCAGCCGAACCGTCTCTGACATGGTTTTCTTAAGATGTTTATACCCCATATTTTTATCGCATAGCCTACATACCCTAATCTCGTTTAAGCCTTCTGGACCAAACTCCTCTCGTCGCAACATGGTAAAGCGTATTACTTACTGTCTAGGTCAATGCCCTTCCCAACCCATTAGATCTGCCCTGCCAATGGCCACTGAGTGGTTCTCATAGTCCTGTTTTGTCCGGCCTAAAGCCGATGTTATTGTTTTTTTCTTGTTTATGATTTCTTCCTTGCATTGAAAATCATCATGTTCCCGTGGGTTTGTGAATGGCGACAGGATACCCAAATTACTAGATTGGGTTGTCCACAGATGCATACTATAGACTAATGATACTCCTTTAATTTCAACAATTGAGCTACTATAAAGGGTTTTCAATCAGGTGGGACACGAGTCGGACTGACAAGAAGAAGAAGAACAGCGAACCATGGAACCAGACCTCCATTGACTTAGGCAACGCGAACCATTAGATTTGAGTTGGTCCATCCGTTGGATCACTGGGCTACAGTTGGGCCATATGCTTAGGCTACGAGTCTCGGGTGGGCCATCTCCGTAACTCCGTAACTCCGTTCTCCGTGTCTGTCTACTAAGGTACTCCGCACCAACTGCTACTAACGACTGCCATCTCACTACAACCCTCGCTCCACAAGAGTCGAGCTTAATTCTCCGAATCCTGTTGTCTCATTTCTATGTGCTCGCAGAAGCTTGGATGAGTAACAATGCTCCGAAAGTCAGTACCTTTCGCTAGACTCATCCTGGCCATCGAGACCGTGATTGTCCGGCCATTCCCCACCGGCCATCTCAGGCCTTCAATGGGAGCCATCCATTTGCGCACGTTGCGACGTCCTCGCGCCAATGGGCCGGTCATGGCCACGTTCTTATCGGTCCGTCCCCATTCCCCAATAACTCGTGGTGCTATTTTAAATCCATCTTAATTAGAAAAGGTCAAACCCCCTCCTTTGGAACTTAATAAAAAGAAAGAAAGAAAATACAATGGCCCTTCACGATGAACTCTGGCGGTGTCGAGAATAAGAACGAGAATGACGGACAGCCTGTCTTGCCCCTGCATGTTGATCACGATCAGTTTGGGCGGATCCGCAAGATCGTCAATCAATTCACCCCGTCAATTCTTATCATCGCGATATTAAGTTCCTGGAGTCTGTTATCATGAGCCGCCCGCATTTGTTCCTCGATGCCCACGACTGGCCGCTTCCTCCGGGGCGTCGCGAAAGTACCGTTTCGTCGTCCACCCAGTCCTCGGGAGCTCTGAGCATTGCGTCGAATCCTCTTTTTCCTCCGCCTAGTCCAATCACCTCGTCGCCGGGATCCCGGTCGAGGCAGCCGTCGTGTCATTCTTTGTATGATGAGGTGGTCCGGCTGCCGTTTAACCCTGCGGTGACTATGTATGTTTCGGTCATGTTAGCTTGGATATCTAGTCGGTGTCTCCTAATGGGTCTGCTTTTAGTTCGTTTGTGCGAAATAATAAAGTCTTTCGGCTCCGATATACCTTTGTCGATATCCGCAAGGACTCCGGGGGCAGTTTAAAGTCGCTGGAGCTGGGCGGCGGCGTTGGCCAACAAACTCCTTTCGTTCATACCTGTGAGTGTATCCTTCAAAAGCGAGATGGGAGTCACCAGCTAACAGATCATCCCACATAGTTCATACGACGAGACTACCTGTCCCTCATCTCGAACACCCTAAGCTACCAAATGAAGCATCCCTTCGAATATCATTCCTAGAAGAACAGACCGTTCAAACAGCACACACCATTTTCATGACCCAAATATCATATATCTTCGAAGACTGGAACGGTAAGAGGGATCCGGCCTGTACAGCTCCCCCGTGCTAATCTCCAGCACAGACTGCGTTCAGTTCCAAGAGCTAATCCTGGCATCGAGGCTGGTCTTCATTGCCGGGATCGCCGAGGCAAAATCCAAAGGCCGTGGGGAGGAATGTATCAGTCAGAATCTACGCGTTTTACAAGCTCCAAATGGCAAGCAGGTGATGTTGCTGTTTGCCAATTCACAACGAAAGGAATTCAAACGCTATATTTCAATACCGGGTATGTTGATCCTTTTAGTGAAAAGCAAATTGTTGACAGCGCTGATCCATTCGTATAGTGACTTGCATCGAAAGTGTAAATCCAGGAAAGAAGGCCGGGCGACCAGTGGTGTTGCAGCTTTCGCCTAATTTTGACCTTCTCGCTCAGATGAAAACACTACAGATCCAGTTCCTAGACGATGAAGGTATTATCCTCTCAAACATCTCTGTCTCTGTTAGGAATACTGTTTAACACTCATCAGATCGCAAATCGTTCTGCCAATTCGTGGCAGACCATACAAACTAATCTCAAATACCCACTATTACCTACCAGACTAAACCCAGAAGTTGGGAGGATAATCAACACTCTCAGTTGGCAGCCACAACGTGCCACCCTCTCGAAATGGCCTGTCTCACGAATAATGTACCGAATATACCCCGTAATTTACTTAGCCACTCTATGGCGTGATGGCACTCTAGTATAGCACTCATTTCTTTCACAATATGAATCACACACCGTCACCCCCTCCCAAGAAGGCCTAAACATCCCTTCGAGGTGAGATTGTTCGTGATAAGTGGGTCGCATCACCCTTGGCGAGGGAGTTCCAGGCAGGCGAAAGCTCCAAGTCCAGAGTCACTGCACGTGGAAGGAGGGAGGAATTGGTGCTGCGGACCCGCGAGGCGGGAGCTAATGCAGTGCTGGGGCCTGGGCCTGTGCTTGCCTGGCTGTTAGGGGTTTCGCATAGCAATTCATGAGCCAACAGAGCTCTGTATAAAATATATTGATACGAATCTATGAGATTACGTGATCTAGCGGCTTGACCCGCACACTCGAACCCCTGAGGAACTTACCCCTCCATCTTTTGAAGAGGAGATTAATCGTTATGCAAGTAAATTAAGAGCCCTATCATTATAAAGGCATTCGCTCCTTAGTAGGCTACGTGCGTGTAGCCGATACAGTGTCATCCTGCCCTCCTTCCCCTGTGCATTTCATAACAGATATCATGAAGTATGAGTTTCTCTTCTTGTTCGTATTTATGTGGGAAATGCAATTTGTATAATTTGAACTAATACTATCTATGGTTGCACTGTATGCACTGCCGTTAGCCGGTTTGATCAGAAGGTTCAGGAACACCAAAAATGAAAGGCAAATCGTTTAAATTGAATTTTCTTCTGCTGGGAATCTGATTATCATGATCATTGTTAATGAATGAATTAATCAATTTTTCTCAATCCGGTAGAATGCGAAAGGGCATGTCTACAGTATGCACCATGGTAGCAAATATAGCGCGTTGAGGGCGGTGGAAGGCAAAGACACTAGTAGAATTTAAAGCGCCGGGCAACCTCCCTTTCGGAACCGCCACCTTTGCACATCTCACGCGGTACCCAAACTAGCATGGTTTCCTCCCCTGTGTCACCCTTCTGGGGCCCGCAGACCTCGTATTTGAAGTAGGTTTGGATCTATCACTTCCGCCAATCTCTTTATAAGCCCTGGACACTCACTAACCATGTTCTAGCTTCTGCGAAGAGGTAATTCAGCACACTCCTGCCTATATTCACACCTAACCATCCATCGCGTAACAAAGGACTATGTGATCACTCGATACGTTGGCGAGTTTATCAACACTCTAAGTAGCTTTGCCTACGGTAAGCTAGCATATGTTTTGACAACGACCTGTTTAACCAGCAATTGACCCCTTTGTCCAGTCTTTTTCGGAGTCTATGGCCTCTTGCAACTTCACCGGAAAGGACAGTCCGGGTCTCGATCGATCCCTTATTACGGATTGATCGGGGTAGGCGTTTGCTCGGGCGGCTACCACATGACGCTGAAGTATCATACTCAGATGTGTAAGTCTATCGCCGGACCCTTCCTTGACTGCCGATCGTCTTTTCTCGCAGCTGAATGTGAATGCGGTGTTCTGATATCTATTCTCAGCGGATGAACTCTCCATGCATCTCCTGACCACGCCGTTGGTTTATCGCATTCTCACGTTCCAGACGACTCCGCAGTACACGGGCGTGGTGCGGGTTCTTCTCTCGCTTCTTTTCACGATCGTCATGGTCGTGCATATGGTTATGGATGAATTCCTGCTTCATGCCGTTACCTTTGGTCTGGCGGTGTATTTGGTCGCAACGCGGACCTTGAAGCTCATTCCCCAGCAAGTTACCGATCCGGTGGCTAGGAAGAATATTCAGAATATAGCTATGTTTGGTGTCTGTGAGTTCTCCATCGCTCTATCTTTTGGCGGGGTCGTTATTTGACAAGTAATTACTCAATCAATTCCAGTCAGCTTTGCCTTTGGCTACTTTGTGTGGTTGATTGACGAATGGGCATGCGGGTACTTGACCAGCACAAGGCATTTTGTCGGTCTACCCTGGGCGTTCTTGTTGGAATTGCACGGATGGTAGGTTCTTTCTCCTCGTTTGAATGCGGAGCCAGATTCTTCTAACTAAATTGAACAGGTGGCATGTCTTCACTGCCACTGGTGGCTATATTGCCATCGCGGTTATAGACATGATCATTTCGGGTGAAGTGGATCGGAACGCCACGGAACGTCTTGCGTGGCCTCTTCCTGTCGTGGCGAGGCTCGTGGGAACGGCGAAGCGGGACTAATGGATTGGGATCTTCCTAGCATGATCGTAAGTCGTGCAGATATATACTGCAGTCTCTCTTCCGGCTATACGTGAAGATCGATTGGATATCTCTGGAAGCCAATGGAGACGCTTGGCATACAAAAGTGTCACCAAAGGTAATTGTTGCGGTGTCACTTTCTCCATTCCTCGAACCGTTGGACTCGTGGTTTTTGGAGCTTTTAGTCGCAGCATCGCATGTGCGTGGCCGATATATATGATATACTTTCAGTGGAATTAGATATCGAATAGACTATATACATGTCGAGTTAATTATCTCGTTCTACTGACATCTCGATGTTTACACGTGATCCCGACGCCTAAATGCGGTTAGTACCATCGTTGTGGTTCATTTTAGTCTTGATTCGGCCAAGGCTACTATACGAGTGTTCAAATTACCATCATGATATAAGATGTTACTAACTGCCTTGCTTATGGGGCAACCCCTATGAAACCGTGGACAAGGCTCCAAGCTCACATGCACTAATGCTTCTTTCTGACAAGGCACAGCAAACACGAGGATCACAACTTGCCCGAGCAAGCAACGAGCACGAGCACAAGCAAGTGGAGCTTCGTATTTCGTGCATACTGACAGACACGAATGGGCAGACCATCCAGTGATCAACAATCAATCAGGGGAGACAGACGGGAGCAAAGGGCAGCACGTGGGGGAAGAAGTGGCCCTTGCATGTCCGACCAGAAAGACCCACCACCACCGGACGGGCGCTAATGCCGCACGTTGCGCCCCCTCCAATCACCGCGGCCTGAGACACCAGGCCACCCTCCAGCATGTTTTATACCTATCCTTTTTCCTTTCCCCCCTCTTCGCTCGCCGGGCTCGCCTCGTTCATTCTTTCTCGTTCCTTATTTGATCCATCGTCCACTTTTGTTGCATCGATTCTATCCACACCATGTCAATTGTGGATTCGTTCCGTCGGGTACTCCATCGGACATGAACGTGTTTACTTGGGTATAGATCCAAAACAGCATCATGCCTAAACTTCGCACTAGGTTGTACAAGACCGATCGGGCTCGGGATTTCGAGCATGAACAGGTAACTATCCATTGTTGCTTGAGCTTTCTTTGTCTACTGTTTTTATTCTCCGAGGTAACACTTGTTTTGGCTAGGATCGCCGCGTCCGCATGCGACAAATCTACGAGACTATCGATCGGCAATCATTTCAATGGATTGTTGTCCTTGTGGCTGGGGTTGGGTTCTTTCTGGACGGTTACACAGTATGTTTCTCTTTCTTGGGTTTTGTTTTTGGGATCGATTGTTGACATGGCGTCCGTCTGCTCAGTTGTTCGCAAGTAATATGGCCCTTCCGATGATCGCCTACGTCTACTGGAAAGATGAAGTATCCTCGATGAGACAGACCTATATCAACATCGCTACGCTGGGTGGGACGCTACTGGGACAGGTGATGTTCGGGTATCTAGCAGATCGCAACGGGCGGAAAAAGATGTACGGCGTGGAGCTGGTACTCATGATCATTTCGACCCTGGGGGTGGTGATGTCTTCCAATGGCGAACACCAGAGCATGGATGTCTTCTCGTGGCTGATCTGGTGGAGAATCATCGTTGGTGTTGGTGTGGGAGCTGACTACCCCCTCAGTGCTGTGATCACATCGGAGTATGAAGAGAATCCTTGGTTTCGAATGTCTCCAACCTAACTGACACTGTCAGATTTGCACCTACGAAACATCGCGCGCGCATGCTAGCCACCGTCTTCTTTATGCAACCTCTCGGCCAAATCGCAGGTAACCTCGTCTCGCTGGTCGTCGTCGCAGTCAGCAAGAAGCAAGGATTCGACGACCTCACCCGCACCGTGGATATCATGTGGCGATGGGTCATCGGGATCGGGGTGATCCCCGGTGTCATCGCAACACTCTTCCGATTCGCTATCCCCGAAAGTCCACGATTCCTCCTCGAGGTCGAAGATGACCCCGTGAAGGCCGAATTCGACGCAACCACCCTCTTCAACGAGCCCTCGTCCACATTCGCTTCCCCGTCCATCCAAACAGAAGACAGCTGGAACCACCTCCCTCTCCCCGCTATATCCCTCACCAACCAGTCCATCGACGAAGGCCGATCTCCCTCACAGACCGAATTCCTTCAACCCGCCACCCTCAACTCCCACTGGCGTCTCAGCCGCCGCGACATCATCCAATATTTCTGGACCGAGGGGAACTGGCGCACACTCGCCGGGACCTCTCTCTCCTGGCTTCTTCTCGATTTTGGTTTCTACGGTATCGGTCTATCGAGTCCGCAGTTCCTCGCCAAAACATGGGGTTCCCTGAACATCACGGGACAAGTTCCCCCTTGGCAGACGGACGACTCTCCCGGTGCAAACCTATACGACATGTTCCTGAACAGTTCTACCCACGCCCTCGTCATCCTCAACAGCGGCAGCTTTCTCGGTGGACTCGCTCTAATCCTAATCATCCATAAACTCGACCGAACCGGACTCCAGAAATTCGGCTTCCTGGCTCTAGCCGCCCACTTCATCGCCCTCGGCACCATGTTCATCACCGTCCACAAAGAAGGTCCCGTCGCGGTGGCATTATACATTATCGGCCAGGCACTTTTCAACTTTGGTATGCACACCCCTCTCCCCCTCTATCCCCTTCCATTCTCCTCCCTCACCCCCACACTCCCTCGACTAACCATAAACTCAAAAACCACAGGCCCCAACGCAACAACCTACATCCTCCCCTCCGAGCTCTTCCCAACCCGCTACCGCGCAACCGCGCACGGGATCAGCGCCGGAGCCGGAAAACTCGGCTCGATCCTTGTCCAAATCTTCTCAGCCTACTACAACTTCGGCACCGGAGTCGGCGACGAACCAACCATCCGCCATGGATGGATCCTTATCGTCTTTTCCGCTTGCATGGTTCTCGGCGCAGCAGTTACGCATTTCTGGATCCCTGCGGTGCAAGTCCGGAGGGGGGATGGTGTGGGGGGTAGGGTACGGACGACCTCGGTGCGTGGCGGTACTGGGCGTAAGAGACGGGGACAGTTTTGGGGAGGCAAGACGGTTGAGTTGGAGGTTCTTGCCTTGGGGAGAATGGGCGAGAGGAGTCTTTATTCCGGGTGGTATTTGGGGGGGTCCTCTGGGTCTGGTGGGAGTGCGGGTGCATCGCCGTTTTTTGGTGGAGGGGGGGTATAATTATAGTCTTTTTGGGTTGGGTTTTTGTGGATATGGGTTGATATACCTACTTATATACCAAGGTACAGGGTCGGGTTTGGTGAAGGATTGGAGTTCGTGATTTGGATATATATCATACCGGTTAGATACTTAGTTTAGGGGTGACCGCGTTGTATATATTTGGGATAATGCTATAAAGCTACAATAATTTGGGTGTTATATATCTTGTAAATATTGTTAAAAATGGGGGTTAAGCCCAGATTGATCTCGATTGACTAGTGAACAATTACCAATCAATAGCACCAATTCTTAAAAAAGAAGCCCCCCCCCAAAAAAAGGAACATCACAGACACAGCCTGAGTGAGGAAAAAGTGGATACCACCAAAAACACAAAACAAAAAAGGATGCATCATCCGTGAATCGAACACGGGCCTCGTCGATGGCAACGACGAATTCTACCACTAGACCAATGATGCTAGTTGATATAAGACCTGTCAAAATTATGTTATATAATTCTAAAGAGCAAATCTTGGCGCGCAGAGACATTGGGAGGAGTGGTGGTAACCAAAGAAAAGAGTAAATTGAACACGACAGTCGAAAGAATTTAGGAATGGGAGAGGCCACAAATGACTAAACAACATTAAAATTTAGAATTAAGATATCATAGTAACACATTATCGTTAACAGAGCCTTTTCGCAACATCCTCAATCTCCCCAGACATTTCATCCCACCGACAAACCACCTTAAAAACTCTCTTCACACGCATAACTCTCCGCATCCATTGCATCACCGCCCTTATACACCGAAACAAGAGGCCAAGGACACAGATTCCGGGTCCGACCATCGTTCGCCTTCGCGGCGATCGACTCCGGCGCGACGCCCTGCTCCACCCACTCGACGACAGCACTCAACGGGTCCACGGGGATAGGGCCCTCCCCGCCCCGACAGTGGTTCACACCCGGGGCCGGGAAAAAGCGATAGAAGTCGCGCAGGGCAGGGTCCAGGGCTTCAGCCTGGCGGTAGTAGCGCTCCGTGCCCTTAGGGAAGATCAGCTGGTCAGCGAGACCGTGCCAGGTGATCATTTTGCCGCCGGTGGATTTGAATGCGGACAGGTTGGGGTTGTCGGTGCCGATGATGGAGTTGTAGCGGGCCTTGGAGGAGGCGAAGATGGTGTCGAGGTCGTGGTGGTCGAGATGCGTGAGGTCGAAGGAGGGGTCCTGTAGGACGAATCGGCTGATCCAGTCCGCGGGGATGCTGAAGGGCGAGCCGCTGCAGTTGGCGGCGGGCGTGTCGCAGGTGGTTCCTCCGAGGCTGGGGGAGCCCATGGAGATCGGCGTGCCCTTGTTGAGACCGTACCAGAGCGAGGAGCCGTTGGCGGATCTCAGACCCTCCCAGGACTTCTGGACGACGAGGGCGTCGTTGCGGGTGATTTTGACGGACGTGCCGTCGCAGTTCGCGGTGGAGTTGACCAGCGTGAGAGGGTTGAAGCGACAGAGGTCCGGGGCGGAGATGACGCCGTCGGTGACACCGTCGAGGCCATCGCAGGCCTTGATGGTTGCGTTGGTGATGGTGTCTGTGACGCACTTGGCGGGGTAGGTCTGCAGCTTGTTCATGACGAATTGGGGCCAGTACTCGGCGACCAAGAAGCTTGGCCAGTTGATGGCCGGGGCCGCGGCCATGATGCCGTCGTATGCGGTGGGATAACGCTGAGCCAGCATGAGACCCTGTCGGCCGCCGGTGGAGCATCCGTTCCAGTAGGAGAACTGCGGGCCGTGGCCGTAGAAGCTGCGGGTGATTTGCTTGCCAATGAGCGCAGCGTCGTTCAGACCGATGTAAGCGAAGTCTTCCAGTAGAGGCATGTTCACGTTGTTGTCGGCGTCCAGGGACCAAGATTCCGAGACGGAGGTGACCACCTCGTGACCGCCGTCCGTGGCCACGACAGAGTAGTTCAGCGCCACTGCTTCTGCGAGGTAGCTGTCGTCGTGTCTCATGGCGTATCCACCGCCGCCGGAGCCTTGAAGCCGTCCACTCCAGCCGGAAAGGGGAAGCCAGACAGCGACGTGGATGGTGTCATCCTTGCCCGGGTGGGTGTAGGTGACGGTCACATTGCAGAAGTTCAATGTCGAGTTATCTTCAGACTGGTAGTTCTGCACGGGCGACGCCGAAAGGCTCAGAACGCGACCCTCAGGGATCGCAGGGGGAGCAATGCCTCCAGAGGAGCAGTTTCCCGCTTGTGCAGTAGTAGCAGACAGCAGAGAAGCTGCTGCGGCAGTCGAAGCCAAGGATTGTAGCTTCTTGTATAGCATGATGACCGCTGATGAACAAAAGCAAGTGAACAAGAGAAAAAACAAGGGGTTTCTTGCAGATTTCCAGAACCTCGGGCCCTGTTACCATTTATACCCAAGAACGAAGACTTTTACCACCCCGATTTGACAGACCCAGCCGCAATTCAGGTTCTGTCGATGGCGATCTTTGCCTGTAGAGATCGGGTGTCCCAGAGTTTCGAGAGCCATGATGTAAGGGATATTTCTCCGGATATCAACCAAACCGCTGACGGTATGCTGTGCAATATCCGATAGGTGGATTATCTATGCCATGCACTCCTAGTGTATCTTCAACCGCCGTGACAGCTATCCCGCATTTATTGCTGCGTGCACGTTGTTGCAGGACCTTGGCCATTACGGCACTTGAACACAGCTCGGTAGCCGAGGAGAAGCAGATCTCAGATAGTGGAGAAGGCAAGATCCGTCCCATGGAGCCACCTCAATCTGAAACTATCGAAGCTGGGAGATTCACGATTCGCGAACCACTGGAATATCACATCTGGTTCGGAAAGACCCCGTGGATGGGGCATGTTCGCAGAAGGACCGTCAAGCGTTCATTGTGAGTCGCAAGTGATTCGCCGACCCTTACTGCATACAGGAGAGTCCGAGATGCGGACAGGAACAGTTTTCCGGTATCCGTGGCTGACGGGTAGTCGGTCAGCTACGGATAGAACGAAAAGGAAAACCCGAATTTCAAATCAAAAAGGGGGAAAGAAGAACGGTGGAGAACTGGAGACGCCGACAAATGGTGGCCTGAGATCGGCACCCACTAGTGCCTGAGGTTCTCCACGGTCACGGGGAAAGTGGCCATAGTTCGACTCGGCTGGAGGGCAGTCTTTTTGAATAGTCTCAACTGTGTACTCCGTACTCCGTATAGGCAGAGATGAACATGAAAAGTCCTCACTCCTACTCCGTCACCATGCAGAGACAAGAGGTCCAGACCCACATCCCCTCCGACAGCGGCCCACGTGGTCCCCCCGAGCTGACCAAAGGCCGAAGGCGGCGAGACGAAACTAGCAGGCATTCTGCAGCTCTGCAAGCACAGCAGCCACAGCAGCGATGGGTTCTGTATGACCTGTGTGACGAGCGGGGTTGACAGGCAGCGCATCTTATTTAAGCCTGCACGACGTCCCTTTTCTATCTCCTTCTGTTCGCTTTTCCGTGGTTCGCCTGGGGGGGGGGGGGGGGGGGGGGGGGGCCGGCGGGGGGGGGGGGGGGGGCGGGGGCGGTGGGGGGGGGGGTGGGGGGGGGGCGGGGGGGGGGGGGGCGGG